ACAAGCTAGCTGGCATTACCTGCCCCCCTCCCCCGGATGTGTGATGGGAAGTTGCTGCTGTAAGAGAAATAAGGTTGAACACTGTGAAAGCCATCCACTGCATGGCTATTGGTCTCCTCCCAGTAGACTCAAGTCAAGGAAAAGCTTCATGAGAACCACCACTCCTCTTAACGTCCCCCCAGCAACAGCAAGGGTATCCCTCAGAGCAGCTATACCAGGAAATTCCAACTGGATGGCCCCCCACGAGGGTCTTCCTCCAGGCGCAAACCAAGAATGGGCAACTTGGAAGTCCCAGAACGGTTTCGGAAGTGGAGTGGGCAGATCAAAAGACAACCTGGCAAAATGGCATTACCTAAAATAATCCCACACCTTGTGTGACTGTGGAGCTGAACAGACAACTCTGCATCTGTATGCTTGCCCACTATGTCCTGCCTCATGTACAGAGGAAGTTCCAACAAACTCATTCAAATGACCCAGTGACTGGAGAGAGACAAGGTTGCTTTGTGTTCCTTCCACCTATTGTCGCCTTGACCAAGTCCCCTTATTTGACTTTTGAGTCAACATCTCTCAGTCTCCGTTTTGACTCCACCTCCCCATTTAAAATACATTTTAATACATTGGTTGCATCCTTGACTGATGAAGAAACCCTGGCTATGGACCTTAGGGGTTGTAAGGTGTGTGCACATATATATATGAAGACTTTGGTGGTCCAGCAGGTTAAACCACTGATCTGCTGAACTTGCTGACCAAAAGGTTGGCAGTTTGAATCTTGGGAGCAAGGTGAGCTCCTGCTGTTAGCCCCAGCTTCTGCCAACCAAGTATTTTGAAAACATAAAAATGTGAGTAGATCAATAGATATCGCTCCGGTGGGAAGGTAACGACAGTCATGTCGACCACATGGCTTTGGAGGCATTTATGGACAACACCGGCTCTTCAGCTTAGAAATGGAGATGAGCATGAACCTCCAGAGTCAGACACGACTAGACTTAATGTCAGGGCAAACCTTTATGTATGTTTGTGTGTATACATACATATATGTCTGTATGTGTGTGTGTATATATATATATATATATACTCTATGCCCATTGACAAAATCCCTTATTTGTATATTGTCCTCCAAAGGCTCTTCCTATTAATGTCAGTGTGTAGGTGGCCGGAGAATCTTTAGAACGCACCCATGGCAACGCTCGGCTTCCTTTCTGCAGTTGGTGATGAGCGCGGCAGGGTGAGCCTCATTGGCTGGCAATGTAGGTCCTTTTAAAGGTTTGGCGACAAAAGGGGGACTTCAAACCTCACCAGTGTTTTAGGTTTGGTCATGGTTATCTGTTCCCAGTGTGGTCCAGGTCCCCCATCAAGCCGTGTAGGACCTTTTCTGGTATGGCTCACCTGGAACTAAGCCTGGAACCTCGATAACTGTAATGCTTTACATACAGACTAGCCTTCTGAGGACCAGCTTACACCTTGGCTGATTGGTGTCAAAATAATAATAATAATAATAATAATAATAATAATAATAATAATAATCTTTATTTATAACTCGCCACCATCTCCCCAAAAGGGACTCGGGCGGCTAACATGAGGCCAAGCCCAAAACCATACAACATGATTAAACACAAGATAGACAAGAAAATAAATCACAACAAAATATATAAAATTAAAATAATATAAAACAAGGTTTAGAGACATCAGACTGGCAACAAAGATCCGCCTAGTCAAAGCCATGGGATTCCCTGTAGTCACCTACGGATGTGAGAGCTGGACCTTAGGGAAGGCTGAGCGAAGGAAGAGAGATGCTTTTGAGCTGTGGTGTTGGAGGAAAGTGCTGAGAGTGCCTTGGACTGCGAGAAGATCCAACCAGTCCATCCTCCAGGAAATAAAGCCCGACTGCGCACTGGAGGGAAAGATACTAGAGACAAAGTTGAAGTACTTTGGCCACATCATGAGGAGACAGGAAAGCCTAGAGAAGACAATTATGCTGGGGAAAGTGGAAGGCAAAAGGAAGAGGGGCTGACCAAGGGCAAGATGGATGGATGGCATCCTTGAAGTGACTGGACTGACCTTGAAGGAGCTGGGGGTGGTGACGGCTGACAGGGAGCTCTGGCGTGGGCTGGTCCATGAGGTCACGAAGAGTCGGAAACGACTGAACGAATGAACAACAACAACAAAAACAAGGTTGTTGTAGGTTTTTCCGGGCTATATGGCCATGTTCTGGAGACAATTTTTCTCCTGACGTTTCGCGTGCATCTATGTAGACTTGTCCACAGCTGCATGGTATACGGTGGACTCCTGCAGAAGTTGTCCCATTTCCCAGTTCCAACAGACCTCACTACCTCTGAGGATGCTTGCCATAGATGCAGGCGAAACGTCAGGAGAAAATGCCTCTAGAACATGGCCATATAGCCCGGAAAAAACCTACAACAACCCAGTGATTCCGGCCATGAAAGCCTTCGACAATACAATATAAAACAACATAATAAAATCAAACACAGAGGATGGACCAAATGTATGAGATAAAATGTTAAAACCCTGGGCAAGATAGGGATAAAACCACATTTATCAAAGAGGAGCCCGAAAGAGAGGAGCAAAGGGATTTGGCCTTTATAGGGAGCAGAGGGAAGGTGCTTCATACTAAGAGCAACTGTAGATGGAAGCAACCAGATGGATTAAGTGGTCACTCTCCGATGGCACATCGAAAAAGCCAAGTTTTGAGATCTTTCTTGAAAGCATCTAGGGTAGGGGCTTGCCTGATCTCCCTAGGCAGCGAGTTCCAGAAACGGGGGGCCACAGCGGAGAAGGCCCTCTCCCTCGTTTCCACAAGTCGAGCCTGTGAAAGAGGAAGGGGCGAAAGAAGGGTCTCTCCAGAGGATCAAAGAGATTGTGCAGGTTTGTGGAAGGAAATGCAGTCACAAAGGTAGGTGGGTCCCAAACCGTTTAGGCCGCAGTGTTTCTCAACCTTCCTAATGCCGCGACCCCTTCATACACTTCCTCATGTTGTGGTGACCCCCAACCATAACATTATTTTTGTTGCTACTTCATAACTGCCATTTTGCTACTGTTATGAATCGTAATGTAAATACCTGATATGCAGGATGTATTTTCATTAACTGGACTAAATTTGGCACAAGTACCCGATACATCTGAATTTGAATACTGGTGGGGTTGAGGGATTGATTTTGTCATTTGGCAGTTGTAGCTGCTGGGATTTGTAGTTCACCTACAAAATCAAAGAGCATTCTGAACTCCAGCAACGATGGAATTGAACCAAACTTGGCACACAGAACTCCCATGACCAAAAAAGAAAGTACTGAAAGGGTTTGGTGGGTATTGACTTTGAGTTTGAGAGTTGTAGTTCACCTACATCCAGAGAGCACTGTTGACTCAAATAATGATGGATCTGGACCAAACTTGGCACAAGCACTCAAGACACCCAAATATGAACACTTCACTCAAAAAAATTGATTTTGTCATTTGGGAGTTGTAATTTGCTGGGATTTATAGTTCACCTACAATCAAAGAGCATTCTGAACCCCACCAATGAGAAAATTGGGCCAAACTTCCCACACAGAACCCCCATGACCAAAAGAAAATACTGTGTTTTCTGATGGTCTCTGGCGACCCCTCTGGCACCCCCTCGTGACCCCCTCAGGGGTCCCGACCCCCAGGTTGAGAAACACTGGGGGCTTTATAGGTGATGACCTGCACCTTGAATTGGGACCGGATCATAAATGGCAGCCAATGTGTGTTTATGACTGCATACAATAATAATAATAATAATAATAATAATAATAATAATAATAATAAATAAACTGCTTATACAATGCAATCATAAGCAGTCATAAACACACAAACACTCTCTCTCTCACACACACACACATATACATATATATGTGTGTGTGTGTCAGGAGCTACTTGAGATACTGCAAGTCGCTTCTGGTGTGAGAGAATTGGCTGTCTGCAAGGACATTGCCCAGGGGACACCCACATGTTTTTATGTTTTCCTATCCTTGTGGGAGGCTTCTCTCATGTCCCCACATGGGGAGCTGGAGCTGACGGAGGGAGCTCATCCATGCTCTCCCTGGATTTGAACCTCTGACCCGATTTATTTATTTATTTACGGTATTTGTATCCCGTCTTTCTCAGCCCGAAGGCAACTCAAGGTGGTTAACAATTTGATGCCCCAACAGACATAAAAATACAGTTAAAAACATTTAACATATAGTTTAAAAACCATACAAAACCAATAAAAACATATACATATACATATACATATACATATACATATACATATACATATACATACATGGATGGCCCATGAGGTCTCATCCAACTCTAGGATTCTATGGGCAAACTTGGGCCATCCAGGTGTTTTGGATTGCAACTCCCATCATTCCTAACAGGCTCAGGTCCCTTCCTTTTCCCCCTCAGCCGCTTAAGTTGCAATCCAAAACACCTGGGCGGCCTATATTTGCCCATGCCTGGGATAGAGAATATAAATAGGGTTCAATGGGGTGGGAAAAGGTGAAAACACACATCCTCCAGGCAAAGAAAACCTGTCCTGCTCCTTTCCGTTCCAGAGCAGGATATCCTCTCTCCTTTCTCCTCTTTTCGTGGGACCCCAGAGCCTTATTTCCCCCCTCATATCCTTTGCAATAATTTTAGAAATCCAATATTTATTCCTATTTTCAAAGCAAAAGACCCTGATGTCCAGCTTCCTTCCCAGAATGGTTTCTTGAAAGTCTAGTGTTGGTCCCTTCTCCATCCTGCCCTTCCAAGAGGAAAAGCTGATCCTTTCCCTTTGGAAACTCCGCAATCATTGCCTTTGCCAGTTCGTTTTCCAGATCGGAGTGGCTGCAAGTGCTTTTTAGTATTCCCTGGCTTATATTCCCACTGCCACTGCCTCCCCCCTTCCTCTCTTTTCCAGCTGTGAGAAAGGCCTACCTCACAATGTCTCCATAGCAACGCCCCGGCAACCGTGCGCCCTGGCAACCGTGCTCTGCCTCTCTTTGTGACTCTTCCTTTCCTTTCTCCATTCCCCTCATACGCTTCCCCCTCTCTTTTCTCTTCCTTTTCCATTCTTCCCTTAACTTCCCTAATACTCTTTCCATCCTTCGTCCTTCCTTTCTCAGAAGGAAGCGAAGGGCACTGTCTCCTCGGCATCAGCTGCAGGTCTTTCTGGCTTTCTTGCAGGAATTAGGAAAAGGGTCCATGTTGGGTTTAGACTCAGGCAGTAAAGTATATTGGATTGGAGCTATGAGGCCAGAAGGGTGGGAAAGGGAGAGGTTGACAAGTTGGAATGTGTCCAGAGGAGGGTGACTAAAAGGATCAAGGGTCTGGAGAACAAGCCCTATGAGGAGCGGCTTAAAGAGCTGAGTGTGTTTAGCCTGCAAAAGAGAAGGCTGAGAGGAGACATGATGAGAGCCGTGGATCAAGATGGGAAGGGAAGTCATAGGGAGAAGGGATTAGGCTTGTTTTCTGCTGCCCTGGAGACTAAGACATGGAGCAATGGCTTCAAACTACAGGAAAGGAGATTCCACCTGAACACTAGGAAGAACTGTGAAAGCTGTTCAGCAGTGGAACTCTCTGCACCAGAATGTGGTGGAGGCTTCTTCTTTAGAGGCTTTTAAGCAGAGGCTGGATGGCCATCTGTCGAGAGTGCTTTGAATGCGAATGTCCTGCTTCTTGGCAGAATGAGGTTGGATTGGATGATCCACGAGGTCAATTCCAATTCTATGATTCTCTGCCCCAAGTGTGGTGGAGGCTCCTTCTTAGGAGGCTTTTAATCAGGCTGGATGGCCATCTATCAAGGATGCTTTGAAGGCGATTGTCCTGCTTCTTGGCAGAATGGGGTTGGACTTGATGGCCCATGAGGTCTCTTCTAACTTTATGATTCTATGTTTCTTTGCCCTGGAGTGTGGTGGAGACTCATTCTTTGGAGGTATTTAAACAGAGGCTGGATGGCCATCTGCTGGGAGTGCTTTGAAGGCTATTGTCCTGCTTCTAGGCAGAATGGGGTTGGACTAGATGGCCTACAAGGTCTCTTCCAACTCAATGATGCTATGATTCTCTGCCTGGAATGTGGTGGAGGCTCCTTCTTTGGAGGCTTTTAAACAGAGGCAGGATGGCCATCTGTCAGGAGTGCTTTGAATATGATTTTACTACTTCTTGGTAGAAAGGGGTTGGATTGGATGGCCCATGAGGTCTCTTCCAACCTTATCATTCTATGATTCTCTTCCCAGAGTGTGGTGGAGGCTCCTTCTTTGGAGGCCTTTAAACAGCGGCTGGATGTCCATCTGTCAGGAGTGCTTTGAATTAGATTTTACTACTTCTTGGAGGAAAGGGGTTGGACTGGATGGCCCACGAGGTCTCTTCCAACTCTATCATTCTATGATTCTCTGCCCCGGAGTGTGGTGGAGGCTACTTCTTTGGAGGCTTTTAATCAGGCTGGATGGCCATCTATTGGGGGTGCTTTGGACGCAATTGTCCTGCTTCTTGGCAGATTGGGGTTGGACTGGATGCCCCACAAGGTCTCTTCCAACTCAATGATGCTATGATTCTCTGCCTGGAATGTGGTGGAGGTTCCTTCTTTGGAGGCCTTTAAACAGCGGCTGGATGTCCATCTGTCAGGAGTGCTTTGAATGTGATTTTACTACTTCTTGGTAGAAAGGGGTTGGACTGGATGGCCCACAAGGTCTCTTCCAACTCTAGGATTCTATGATTCTCTGCCCTGGAGTGTAGTGGAAGCTCCTTCTTTGGAGGGTTTTAATCAGAAGCTGGATGGCCATCTGCCGGGAGTGCTTTGAAGGCGATTGTCCTGCTTCTTGGCAGATTGGAGTTGGACTGGATGGCCCACAAGGTCTCTTCCAACTCTATCGTTCTATGATTCTCTTCCCAGAGTGTGGTGGAGGCGCCTTCTTTGGAGGCTTTTAAACAGAAGCTGGATGGCCATCTGTTGGGAGTGATTTGAATTCAATTTTCCTGTTTCTTGGCAGAATGGGGTTGGACTGGATGGCCAACGAGGTCTCTTCCAACTCTAGGATTCTGTGATAATCTCTGGCCATTACTCCAAAATGCAGGGGGATTGAGAGGGATACATGAAAGGAGAGAGAGAGAGAAGGGATTTTAGGGTCTGAACAATGGAGAGGACCCTGGGTGATGGTGCTGGACAAGGAGAAGAAGATTCTTCTATCTGAATCTTAGAGGTCTTTGTGGGATTTTTTGTTTGTTTTTTGTTGCTGTTGTTTGTTTGTTTGTCTTCTATCCAGTCATCCATTGAGCATTCATTGTCTCATCATTAACCCATTACTCTTGTTTCCTTTCAGGCCCTACAGATGTGGTCGGTCCTTCCCTTTTGGGGAACTTCTGGCATTTCTTCATCCACTTTGGAGGCAGCCTAGACACACAGAACCAAGATGGAAAGGCAAGGATCATGCGGCTCCGAGTTGCAAACCTTTTCTCCTGCTGTTAAGGCTGAGAATGGTGGAGCATCCTGGGACGACCCTTGGAAGAACGACCTGGAAAGCCACCTGCTCCATTCAGATCTTCAGCACCATTTTTTCCGGCAGTTCCGCTATGAAGAGGCTCGAGGTCCCCGAGAGGTGTGCAGCCATCTCCACACTCTCTGCTGCCAGTGGCTGAAACCGGAAAGGAAGACCAAGGCGGAGATGCTGGACCTGGTGATCCTAGAACAATTCCTGAGCATCCTTCCCTCCGAGATGGAGCACTGGGTCCGGGAATGTGGGGCAGAGACCAGTTCCCAGGCAGTGGCTTTGGCTGAAGGCTTCCTTCTGAGTCAAGAAGAGGAGAAGAAGCAGGTGAGAGAGAAAGAGATTCCCCTTGGTAGTTTCAATGTTTTGAAGGGCAGGTTAGAACAGTGGTTCCCAACCTTTGGGCTTCCAGATGTTTTGGACGTCAACTTAGACCAGGCCGTGGCACAACTAGTGAGTAGCCAGCTGCATTAAATCACTACTGACCGAGAAGTAATGAGTTCGAAGCCCAAATCAGAGTAAGCTTCTGACCATTAATAGTCTAGGTTGCTGTCAACCTATGCAGCCCGAAAGACAGTTGCATCTGTCAAGTAGGAAATTTAGGTACCGCCTTATGCAGGGAGGCTAATTTAACTAAATTTGATGAAGGCTTGATGAACGGTCCTGTTCAACATCTTTATTAATGACTTAGATGAAGGGTTAGAAGGCAGGATCATCAAGTTTGCAGACGACACCAAATTGGGAGGGATAGCCAATACTCCAGAGGACAGGAGCAGAGATGAATGGCCAAAACTAACAAAATGAAGTTCAACAGTGACAAATGCAAGATACTCCACTTAGTCAGGAAAAACAAAATGCAAAGATACAGAATGGGGGATGCCTGGTTCGAGAGCAGTACGTGTGAAAAAGATCTTGGAGTCCTCGTGGACAACAAGTTAAACATGAGCCAACAATGTGATGTGGCGGCAAAAAAAGCCAATGGGATTTTGGCCTGCATCAAGAGGAGCATAGTGTCTAGATCTAGAGAAGTAATGCTACCCCTCTATTCTGCTTTGGTTAGACCACACCTGGAATATTGTGTCCAATTCTGGGCACCACAATTCAAGAGAGATATTGACAAGCTGGAATGTGTCCAGAGGAAGGGCGACTAAAATGATAAAAGGTCTGGAGAACAAGCCCTATGAGGAGCGGCTTAAGGAGCTGGGCATGTTTAGCCTGAAGAAGAGAAAGCTGAGAGGAGATATGATAGCCATGTATAAATATGTGAGAGGAAGCCACAGGGAGGAGGGAGCAAGCTTGTTTTCTGCTTCCCTGGAGACTAGGACGCGGAACAATGGCTTCAAACTACAAGAGAGGAGATCCCATCTGAACATGAGGAAGAACTTCCTGACTGTGAGAGCCATTCAGCAGTGGAACTCTCTGCCCTGGAGTGTGGTGGAGGCTCCTTCTTTGGAAGCTTTTAAACAGAGGCTGGATGGCCATCTGTCAGGGGTGATTTGAATGCAATATTCCTGCTTCTTGGCAGGGGGTTGGACTGGATGGCCCATGAAGTCTCTTCCAACTCTTTGATTCTATGATTCTATGAAATACATTATACATATATTTGAAAATATATTTGATGTAACCATATTAGAAATAGGAGTTAGAAAATATAAGAGAAATGTATGTATGCATGGCCATTTCACTTGACTTCTTAAAAGCTGCAAAATTAGAAACGCCAGCATCTAGGAAAGGAATGTCTTGAGGCCTGGCATTTCAAGAGGCTGATAGGGTGTGGTACCAGGCACCTTATCGTAGGCTTGACTAATGAAGTGTCTGTTAAGAGGCTTCAGGAAGACCTTATCTTAAGGATGGATGGAGACTCTTGCTATCAGGTCCAGTAGACATTCTGGCGCTGGTGTTCATTAATAGCCACTCTTTAGATAGAACACTAATGAAGATTGACAAGGTGTTGAGTTTGAAAATATGCTATTGAAGTCAATGTAAAAGTAGAATTTTGTGACGCACATTGTGATGTCTATATGATGCATGCATAATTATTTCAAAAGGTATATAAACCAAGCCTTTCCTTTGTTCTGAACCCTTCTTTCCTGGCTTTCCAGGAGGGTCCATATCCGGTTGGCGCCAACCGAGAATAAAGCCGTGCTTTTCAAGTCTCAGGATCTCTCTTTGTCTCTTTTCCTCAAACCTTCTCCCTGCCATTTCAATTTAGGTAGTAAAGGTAAAGGTTCTCCCCTGACATTAAGTCCAGTCGTGTCTGACTCTGGGGTGTGGTGCTCATCTCCATTTCTAAGCCGAAGAGCCGGCGTTGTCGTTGGGGAAAAAAATAACAAAAACATAATAGGAAAGCAAGCCCTTTTAGTCTGTCATGTCCTCCATCTCAGCAATGGCATTTCTGTTTCAGTCCGAGTACTGCAGAATGAACAAATCAGAATTAACTCCCCCAACCACCGTTTGAGTGTGTTGGAACAGGTCACCAAAATCTCACTTTTCTAATCTTTTGTCACTGTGGTGTCTTTGCTGCTTGTCTAGGTGCAGAGCGCTTTTGCAGATGAGACCACTGAGATTGAAAAGTCTCTTTCGGACACCATTTGTGCTGTCACAGTTGGAGACAACGAATTCATCACAATTGGTAATGTATCTGGCAGGATTACCTCCTCTGAAATGTCTAACCTGTGTGACTTGCTGATTGAAAAGGAAAATATGCCACTTGGATGAACAGTAAAGAACATGTAGTTTACTCTTCTTAATTCAGAACAGTATATGTATAATGTGATAAGTTGCACCAACTCACATAATGTCCTTTTGTGAGAGATTTAAAATGATCTTTCCTTGTCCATGTGGAGAAACTCCCTCCAGCAGCTTTGAAGGAAAAGCACATTCCAAACTCTCTCTGCTTCCTTTTTCTTCTCTGTTAACCTGCATAGCTCAAGCCTGAACAAAAATGTAACAGTATCCAAAAGTCCCAGGCTCAGCCAGCTTCCCTAGTGTAAGCTGACCAATCAACTTCATGCATCTTATTTACAGTTCACATACACACACTGATTCTTTGCACACCGCACGCTGGGCCTGTGCATCAGACTGTAGACAGGACATAAATTCTGTGTGCCCAACGGGATGCCGGGGCTGCCTCAGATTAAAGGCCCTTGGATTCCCCCAAACAGAGTCTTTAGAACGCTTAAAGTACATCCAACAAAGTTCTTTATTGATGAAAACAAACAGGTACTTTCAAGCTTTCTTAACAGTCTATTGGCTCTTGCAATCTTGTTCACTGGGAATAGGCACTATCTTCTTAACTGTAATTAACTAATGGGGAAATCCTTAACTTCTAATCTGGGCAGTCTGTCTTTGCCTCCGTTGGCGTGGAGCCTCTGCACCCGGTACCAACTGCGTCTGGCTTCCGCGAGCAACCCTTACCAAGCAGAGCTTTGTAGACTTCCAGGGAAAAAGAAGGAGTTCAGGTTTCAGTGATGGCTGGCTGAAGTCCCTCAGCGAAGGAGCTGTAAGGCTGTATAACTCCAGTCAGGCTGTAGGCTGTATATCTAAACCATAGAAGACGAAGCTTTCTACAGGAGCTACTTCGTTTTATGTCCTGTGCGAAAGGCTTCTCTGTGAGAACTGAACCCAAAAAGGCTCCTATTCCCTCCAAAACTCAAAAAGGGATGGGACCAGGGAACCTAATGATAATTGACAGGTGGCTTGCCCTATGATTGCAAACTATAACAGGAAGCCACCCTGCTGCAAAATCCCAAGCCTGGGATTGCAAACAAACATTTAATGCAAAGCAAACAAAATTGGAGCTCCTGGTACAGCTGTACCAGCACAGACATGCTCTGTGTTAGAGAAAATGACATCTCTTAGTTTTCTCCAATATTTCTCATACTGCAGGGGAGAGAATGCGCTCAGAGATTGGGGGGCTGCATTGGGCACACAAGAGACTTTGGAGGACTCAACACCCGTTGGCCCCATGCATTATTTTCATTTTCTTTTGTTCTAAGCTCCCCCTCTTCAGGGTCCCAAGGATTTGGCAGTTAATTTTGTCATGTGCATGAAATCCTCCTATAACATTTCAGGTCTCAAAAAGGCCTTTCTTTAAAAATGGAACTGACTTTCAAGCAGGGTTATGGATTGAAGAATATAGGGAACATTTGCAGCTATTTTTGTAAAGAAAAAAATCGAGAACCTGGGAGCTTAAAAATGGTGTTGTCAGGAGACAATTCCCTACAATATTTACCTGTGCAACCTTCAATTGTTAGAGACCCTAAATTGGGTCTTCTTAGGTCCATGCAGTCACGGGAACACATAAGGAAGGAGACAGTTCCAAAAGAGATCAAAAAACAAGGTTTATTTTAATTTCTTCATGAAGAAGACGGACAGCCTGGTAGCATGTGCAGATGCAACCCTTCAAGTGACTGCTGTGCCCCCTTGGCTTTTGACCACCAAATATATAACCTCAAGTAAACAATAACATTTTTTGTCATGGAAAGTACTCTCTTTCCAGCCCCCTCCCTTGACCTTTTGATGGAAAGTGCCTTCTTGTACATGCAGACTCTGCGCTTCAAAAAACAACCTTTGAAGTTAACCACAACACAACATCCTATGTAAGAAAGTACCTTCTTGTACCTCTACATGTCACATCTTGTTCCTTAAAAACATTTTCTTCCGTATTGCTCTTTTTAAGTCAGAGAAAAGGGTATGTCTCTCTTTTGCTGTTAATTTCATTCAAAGCCCCTTGCTTAGCATCCTTCACAATGATAATTGATTCCTCTGTTTCTCTTGGGATATATTAGAGTTGTGTGCAGAATTCGTTCTTACCATTTCTACCATTTGTTTCGTGTCTTCCGTTTCTCCGGAAGCATGAAACGAGAAGCCCTCTCCCTGCATGAAAATCTGCTCGACATGAAAGCAGATTCTGTGTGCATCCGAACTTGCCTCCTTGCTTGGGAAGAGAGTGTGTGGGTGGTGGGACATGCAGGCAGGCCTGGAGCTCGGCTGGAGACACGCTCCCAGCCTGCCTGCACGCCCCACCACACACGCACTCTCAGAGAGTGTGTGGGGCTTGTATGGTGGGGTGTGCAGACAGGCCAGGAGCACGTCTGCAGCTGACCGCCTTTTACTCTAGAGCAGTGGTTCTCAACTGTGGGTTCCCAGGTGTTTTGGTCTACAACTCCCAGAAATCCCAGCCAGCTGTTAGGATTTCTGGGAGTTGAAGGCCCAAAGAACTGGAGACCCAGAGGTTGAGAACCACTGCTCTAGAGTAAGAGGCAGTCAGCTGCAGGCGGGCTCCTGGCCTGTCCACACGCCCCACCACACATGCCTCGCCACACTATCTGAGAGTGCGTGTGTGGTGGGGCGTGCAGGCAGGCGCGGAGCGTGTCTCCAGCCGAGCTCCAGGCCTGCCTGCATGTCCCACCACACACACACTCCTTCCACAAAGAGTGCATGAGTAGCATGGCGTACAGGTAGGACTGGAAAGCATGCGCACCTGCCAGTGTCTACAGCTGAGTGCCTCTTACTCTAGACATATAATATTGCGTTGGTAGAGACTTCGCGGGCCATCTAGTCCAATCCCTTGCCAAGAAGCAAGAAAATTACGGGTAGGTCACATATAACAGAAAAAAAACCATGTTTAAGACAAAGCAGTCCATGTTAAAGAGCCAGAACCCAAATGCAAGAGGGATTTCAAAAGCAGAAGGCGGGGCAAGTGGAGAGTGGCAGGCTTCCAGGGTAAAGAACTGTGGGGCCAGCCTGGAAAAGGGACTGGTCTCACTCTCCTTGATGTCTCTCCTTTCTCCCACAGGCAATGGATCGTGGCCAAGTGGTAGTAACCCATCTTTTCGTGATTCTTTACAAATAAGAGATTCTGCAAGACCAGATCAGGTAGGCAATAGGATTCCTGGATTTGGGGGAGGGGGGGGGGCAAAGTCATCATGTCCATTGAATATTGCCCTGGGCCTAACTCAGGCATGGGCAAACGTCAGCCCTCCAGGTGTTTTATTTATTTATTTACTATTAATTTACTGGGTTGTTGTAGGTTTTTTCGGGCTACAATATGGCCATGTTCTAGAGGCATTTTCTCCTGACGTTTCGCCTGCATCTATGGCAAGCATCCTCAGAGGAAGAGAGGTCTGTTGGAACTAGGAAAAATGGGTTTATATATTTGTAGAATGACCAGGGTGGGACAAAGGACTCTTGTCTGTTGGAGCTAGGTGTGGAATGTTTCAACTGACTACCTTGATTAGCATTTGATTGCCTGGCAGTGCCTGGAGCAATCTTTTGTTGAGAGTTGATTATTTATATTTGTATACCGCTTTTCTCAGCCCTCAGGCGACTCAAAGCGGTTAACAATAGCAAAATTCAATGCTCAAAACATCATAAAACAGTTAAAAACAATTAAAACAATAGCATAATAAACAATCAATTAAACATCTCATTAGTGTCTCATAGTTAAAATCAAGATCCAGTTTCATCATCCATTGTTCCATATTCCTATATTCATTACACTGCCTATTTAAATGCCTGCTCGAACAACCAGGTCTTCACTTTCCTCCAAAATGCTAACAGGGAGGGGGCCCATCTAATTTCTGTAGGAAGGGTATTCCATAGCCAAGAGGCCACCACTGAGAAGGCCCTGTCTCTTGTCCCCGCCAGACGTACTTGTGATGCAGGCGGTGTTGCGGTTCGTTAGTTTATATTGAAAATACACAGTAGTCTTCCCAGCTCCAGGCACCAAGTTGAAAATACAGAGTATAAAAGAAAAATGTCTTTACTCTTGAGTAGTCAACACATGTATTTTATAAAGAAACATACAGTAGCCTTGAAAACACATTGTCCACATTGTCCATCGCAGAAGGAAAAAAACTTACAAAACAATGCATTAATCTGCTTCTTTCCAGCAAACCTTGTAGTGTAGTTCCATCTCTGATTACTTCATTTCACTCACTACCTGCATCAAGAAAACTTCACCTGATATACATCCTAATCAGGGAGTGGTTCTTCCTCAACACACATATCTACGCAAGAGATGATTCTTGTCAAGACTTACAAAAATCATATACTGTAACAGGCGGGACCGAGAGCAGGGCCTCCCCAGATTATCTTAACGTCCTAACTGATTCATAGGAGGAGATACGTTCGGACAGGTAAGTTGGGCCAGAACCGTTTAGACTTCAACTCCCACAACTTCCTATTAGGTTGTTAGGAATTGTGAGAGTTGAAGTCCAAAACACCTGGAGGGCCGAAGTTTGCCCTAATTGAGCCTCTTTCTTTTCCTTTCTTTCCATCCAAGAGTCTTACAATGAATGACTTCTTAAAAGAAGTCAATCACAAATGGCCTGTTTTTCCTTTTCAAGTGTGGTTGCATTTCCTCCTCACATTTTTTGTTTCCAGGTGACTTTTGAAGATGTGTCTGTGGGTTTCTCAGAGGAGGAGTGGGCCCTCTTGGATCCTGGCCAAAGAGCCTTGCACCAGCAAGTCATGGAGGAGAATTTAGAGATGGTGTCCTCTCTGGGTAAAGCTCCTTTATGCTTGTGGTTATCCAAATTTGTTTACATGTGTTAGGAATCATCTATTGCATATAACAAACAAACAAAGGGGAATTACATTTTCACTCAGCATTCATACCACATGTATACACATTCATCCTCAGGCATTCAGATATTATCAAATCATTTTCTCCCTCCTTGGAGAAGCACCTGTTAGGCCAGACCCTACTTTCCTGCAGCCTGCCAATGCATAGTTCCATGACTTCTATAACACCATAACTTCAGAACGCCAAAATGCCAAAACCTCTTCCCTAAGAGCAATGCCAAGGACCAGATCTCTGTTTTCCATACAGCAGAACCTGACTCCCTGCACAAAATCTAAGACTCCAAAAGTGCACATCTTCTTCTTCCCTTGAGAAAGAAGCCCCAAAGTGACCAGACTGCTCCCGTGCAAATCTGCCACTCTCCATAGATACAGCAGTGGGGTTTGGTCTTCATTAAGGAAAGGGGAAAGTGCATTTTGAGGATAACTGTAGGTGGAAACAAACCAAATAGGTTGAATGGTCACTCTCTGAAGGCACATTAGAAGAGCTTTTAGATCAGGGGTCCTCAAACTAAGGCCTGAGTTGTAAATGATAGATGTCTTCCATCCTGGCTCCATCTCAGTTTCCTGGCCAGATGTTGACTTTTCTTGATTGGTGTTGACAAACACAAGGCCACAAAGGTGGGTCCCAAACCATTCAGGGCTTTATAGGTACTTGTACCTTGAATTGGGACCAGAAGATGAAAAGGAGGTTTTCTTTAATTAAAATTATGGTTAAGGGCTATCTTAAGTAAATGCATATTGCAATTTGTATAGTTTCTAATCATTCAAGGTGAACTTTAATCTAATCTAATATTTTCTTTTACATTTCCCTCCATATCAAACCATGTAAGTAGAAGCAAACCCATTTAAATGTTTGGAATATGGACAGAATTTCAACTGGAAAGAAAAGCCCACGTGGCATCAGGCAACTAACACAGGAGAGAAACCCTTTAAATGTTCAGACTGTGGAAAGAGCTTCAGCCACAAGAAGTACCTTGTTCGTCATCAGGCAACCCACACAGGAGAGAAACCGTTTATATGCACTGTGTGTGGAAAGAGCTTCAGTCAGAAGTCAAACCTTGTTTGTCATCAGGCAACCCACACAGGAGAGAAACCATTTATATGTTCAGCGTGTGGAAAGAGTTTCAGTCGGAAGTCGCACCTTGCTCTTCATCAAGTGACACACACAGGACAGAAACCATTTGTATGTTCAGAATGTGGGAAAAGCTTCAGCCAGAAGGCACAACTTGTTCGTCATCAGTCAACTCACACAGGAGAAAAACCATTTATATGCTTTGAGTGTGGAAAAAGCTTCAGTCAGAAGTCAAACCTTGTCGTTCATCAGACGACACACACGGGAGAGAAACCATTCAAATGTTCAGAGTGTGAAAAGAGCTTCTGCCGAAAGACCCACCTTGTTCGTCACCAGTCAATTCACGTAGGAGAGAAGCCATTCGCATGCTTAGTGTGTGGAAAGAGCTTCAGCCGGAAGGCATGCCTCATTCTCCACCAGGCAACTCACACAGGAGAGAAAGCGTTTATATGCTTGGAGTGTGGGAAGAGCTTCTCTCAGAAATCGCACCTTGTTTTCCATCAGAGAAACCACACAGGAGAAAAACCATTCAAATGTTCTGTGTGTGGAAAGAGCTTCTGTCGGAAGTCGCATCTCGTTCGTCATCAGTCCATTCACACAGGAGAGAGGCCATTCAAATGCTCCGAATGTGAAAAGCGCTTCAGTCAGAAGTCACACCTTGTTCTTCATCAATCCGTTCACACGGGGAAGAGACCTTTTAAATGCTCGGAGTGCGGAAGGACCTTCAATCAGAGGTCCCATCTTGTTTTTCACCAGGGAACTCACACGGGAGAGAATCCAAAGTCTAGAAAGAGCTTCCCTAATACGGCACACCCTGATCATCTTCAGGCAACCCACACCATTTACATGTTTAAACTGTGGAAATAACTTCACTCATAAGAGAAACCTTACCAATCGTCAAAGCTGTCACACAGGAAAAAAGCCATTAAAAATGTTTGTAATGCGGGAAGAACTTCTATTGGGAGAAAAGCCTCCATTCCCATCAGGCAACTCACACAGGTGGGAAAGCATCTAAATGCTTGGTGTGTAGGAAATGTCTGTCTATTTAAATATATATATATATATATTTTAGGAAGATTACATCAAAAGTGGGAGGATATAATTAGTTTGGATAGGAAAATGGGAGCAATAGAAACTAAGTGTAGAGAGAGAAAAGGAAAAGAGAGGAAAAAAAGAAAAAATAGTAATAATAATTTAAAAATAAAAATATTGTTGATTTCCATCTAGTCTTTGGTGGTCTTTAAAGTCTCTTTTATTCCTTCAGAATTGTCTGTGTTTCAAAAACTGTCTGCTTCCCCTCTATTTTCTCCCTTATATATGATTTACTTTTTTTAAATGATAATTTCTATTTTCCGTTGTTTGAAATAGTCTTTTACTGGGTCCCAGTTTGTATATTTTTTGGAATCCCTTGGTTTGAGGATAGCCAGTAGGTTAGTTTATCCCTATCTATTTATTTACAGTATTTTTATTTATTTATTTATTTATTTATTTATTTACAGTATTTCTCACCCCTGGGGGGACTCAGGGTGAATTACATTGTATATAATAATATAATAAATAATAAAAAACTTTATTTATACCCCTCTACCATCTCCTGAGGGACTCGGTGCGGCTTACATGACGCCGAGCCCACAATACATCAATGATAAAAGCAATAACAACAATTAATACAGACAATAAAATAAAAACTCATAAACAATAAACAATAGCGGTAACACAATGACGTTTAAAATCTATGGCTGGGCCAAATGTAATAATTAAAATGTAAGAATAATGCTGAGCATGGACAGATGAAATATGAACTAGGATAGAGTTTTCAGAGAGGGATGGGGCATGCAGACATTCCTAGATCCATAATAAAGTGCATTTCGAGGACATATTGCTGGGAATTTCATTATTCTGGGAAGGCACACTGGAACAACCACATTTTCAGGCTCCTCCTAAGACTGTCAGGGTTGGGGCATGCCTGATGTCCTTGGGGAGTGAGTTCCAGAGTCGAAGGGCCACCATCGAGAAGGCCCTCTCCCTCATCCCCACCAATCGCGCCTGCGAAGGAGGTGGGAGCATGAGCAGGGCCTCTCCAGATGATCGAAGGGGTCGTGTGGGTTCGTACACAGAGATGCGGCCACGCAGGTAGGAGGGTCCCAAACCATTCAGCGCTTTGTAGGTAAGAACCTGCACCTTGAATTGGGACCGGAAAATGAATGGCAGCCACAAACATGGCAAACATTCAACGCCATAGAGACAGCAAGCTACACAACATATATAGACAGACACAGAGGCAATTTAACATTCCAACTTTTTTTCATTAGGGTATTCTGGCCACCAGGGGAGCTGTTGCTTCACCGTCCATTTGTGACACTGATGAAGTACTTCTTCATTCTTTGCAGGCTTGCTGGAGATTTTTATGGCATCGTAAATTAGTTAAATTAGCCTGCTCATGTAGGCAGTACCTAAATTTCCTACTTGACAGATGCAACTGTCTTTCAGGCTGCAAAGGTTGACAGCACGCTACACAAATTGGTCGGACACTCACTCCGAACCGGGCTGGCTTCAAACTCATGACCTTTTGGTCAGTAGTGATCTTAATGCAACTGACTCTCAGCCAGCTGTGCTACAGTCATTAACTCCAAAACCTTATTCTGCCATTCTTGGCTGTGGGACCAAGTTTTCTGAACAGGGCAATAGAGCAGCAATGGGAAAGATTACCAGGCCAATTAGATTTGACGTGGATGACTAGGACGGTTTTAAATGGTGTATTTTGATATTTTGATAAATGTTTTTAATGTTTATGTTTGTACATAAGAATTTGTGTCCCGGCATTGAATGTTTGCCGTATATAGGCTGTGCTCTGCCCTGAGTCCCCTTCAGGGTGAGAAGGGTGGAATATACAATGTTTTAAATAAATACATAAATACATTAATAAATAAATAACCTGCATCTTGAATTGGGACCGGAAACTTATTGGAAGCCAGTGGAGATGTTTAAACAGGGGTAGACTGCTCCCTGTAACCAGCTCCCGTGAGTCGTCTGGCTGCAGATCTTTGGACCAACTGTAGTTTCTGGGCCGTCTTCAAGGGCAACCCCACGTTGAGCGTGTTGCAGTAATCCAACCTAGAGGTGACTAAGGCATGGACCACCATGGCCAGATCAGATTTCATGATATACGGACGCAAGTTAAATATGAGCCAACAATGTCATGCGGCGGCTTTAAAAGCCAGTGGGATTTTGGCCTGCATCAATAGGAGTATAGTATCTAGATCCAGGGAAGTCATGCTCCCCATGCTCTATTCTGCCTTGGTCAGGCCACACCCGGAATCCCACTCTGTCCAATTCTGGGCACTGCAATTGAAGGGAGTTATTGACAAGCTTATTTATTTATTGGTTGTGTCTGTTTCTAACAGAACAAAACAAACAGACAAGACACAAAATTTGCGAGTTTGGTAGTTGATTAAATGTCCTTTGACCAGTATCTGGCCACTTGGGAGTGCCTCTGGTGTTGCCTCAAGGAGGTCCTCCATTCGTGCATGTGGCAGGGCTCAGGTTGCATTGCAGCAGGTGGTCAGTGGTTTGCTCTTCTCCACACTCGCATGTCGTGGATTCCACTTTGTGGCCCCATTTCTGAAGGTTGGCTCTGCATCTCGTGGTGCCAGAGCGCAGTCTGTTCAGTGCCTTCCAGGTCGCCCAGTCCTCTGTGTGCCCAGGGGGGAGTCTCTCATTTGGTATCAGCCATTGGTTGAGGTTCTGGGTTTCAGCCTGCCACTTTTGGACTCTCGCTTGCTGGGGTGTTCGAGCGAGTGTCTCTGTAGATCTTAGAAAACTATTTCTTGATTTAAGTTGTTGACGTGCTGGCTGATACCCAAACAAGGGATGAACTGGAGATGTCTCTGCCTTGGTCCTTTCACTATTGGCTGCTACTTCCCGGCGGATGTCAGGTGGTGCAATACCAGCTAAGCAGTGTAATTTCTCCAGTGGTGTAGGGCGCAGACACCCCGTGATAATGCGGCATGTCTCATTAAGAGCCACATCCACTGTTTTAGAGTGGTGAGGTGTGTTCCACACTGGGCGTGCATACTCAGCAGCAGAGTAGCACAGCGCAAGGGCAGATGATTGACAAGCTGAAATGTGTCGAGAGGAAGCGACTAAAACAATCAAGGGTCTGGAGAACAAGCCCTATGAGGAGCGGCTTAAAGAGCTGGGCATGTTTAGCCTGAAGAAGAGAAGGCTGAGAGGAGACATGATAGCCATGTATAAGTATGTGAGAGGAAGCCACAGGGAGGAGGGAGCAAGCTTGTTTTCTGCTGCCCTGGAGACTGGGACACAATGGAGCAATGGCTTCAGACTACAAGAAAGGAGATTCCACCTGAACATGAGGAAGAACTTCCTGATTGTGAGAGCTGTTCATCAGTGGAACTCTGCTCCAGAGTGTGATGGAGGCTCCTTTGGAGACTTTTAAACAGAGGCTCAATGGCCATCTGTCAGGGGTGCTTTGAGTGCAATTTTCCTGCTTCTTGGCAGGGTGTTAGACTGGGTGGCCCACAAGGTCTCTTCCAACTCTTTGATTCTAAGGAAAGGCTACAGGAGTTTGGTTTTGCCTACTGGGAAGGGCAACATTCAGTCACTTTTGTCCTGATGAGTTCATTGATGGCGTGGATTTGATTGCTCACAGATCAAACTACAAGAGAGGAGATTCCATCTGAACACGAGGAAGAACTTTCTGACTGTGAGAGAGGTTCAGCAGTGGAACTCTCTGCCCCGGAGTGTGGTGGAGGCTCCTTCTTTGGAAGCTTTTAAACAGAGGCTGGATGGCCATCTGTCAGGGGTGCTTTGAATGCAATATTCCTACTTCTTGGCAGAATGGGGTTGGACTGGATGGCCCAGGAGGTCTCTTTCAACTCTAGGATTCTATGAGATCTGTTCAGCAGTGGAACTCTCTGCCCTGGAGTTTGGTGGAGGTTCCTTATTTGGCCATCTTTGGCTGGTAGGCTATTAGGAATTGTGGGAGTTGAAGTCCAAAACACCTGGAGGGAGGGCCAAGTTGGTCCAGGCCTGATCTAAATAGAAAGAGACACTTAAGGGTTAAAACAAACGACAAGGAAGTCCTAGAGAGGAAGAAGGAAGTGGCTCACACATTCGAAGTCCCGCCTTTTCCGGCCAGAGGTGAGTTGTGCCGCCTCAGTTGCAGGAAGAGGAAGCAGCCACCCACCGGAAGAGGCAGAGCCGGATGTGAGCCACGCTCCTTCTTCCTGTCCCGGGAAGAGACGTCTCTTCCTGTCCTGCGCAGACCTCACAACGTCTCTATGGGCAAGTTCATTCTTTCTGCCTCTCCCTCTTCCTGTTTCCTTTCTCAGCTTCTTCCTTCCTGGCTCTTGCAAGGATTGGGTAGAGGGCGCCCTCTAGGCCTAGCTGCTAGGATGGCGCTTGAACCAGAGACCCCCAAAGACCATCCAGCCTGACCCCCTTCTGCCAGGCAGGAAGGCACAATCCAAGCACTCCTGACAGATGGCCATCCAGGCTCTGCTTTAAAACCCCTCCACAGAGAAAAAGACGTCTCCACCAGGTTGTACTATGCAAGGGCTCTTGCCCCCAGGAAGTTTAAAAGGACCTTAACAGGTTAGAGATCTCACATCTCACCGAGCTCTGAGGATTACCTGGGAAGGAATCCCACTGGAGCATTGCAGCGCACCGAAATACCTGGGAGTCACTCTGGACCGTGCTCTGACCTACAAGAAGCACTGCCTGAACATCAAGCAAAAAGTGGGTGCTAGAAACAATATCATACGAAAGCTGACTGGCACAACCTGGGGATCACAACCAGACACAGTGAAGACATCTGCCCTTGCGCTATGCTACTCTGCTGCTGAGTATGCATGCCCAGTGTGGAACACATCTCACCACGCTAAAACAGTGGATGTGGCTCTTAATGAGACATGCCGCATTATCACGGGGTGTCTGCACCCTACACCACTGGAGAAATTACACTGCTTAGCCGGTATTGCACCACCTGACATCTGCCGGGAAGTAGCAGCCAATAGTGAAAGGACCAAGGCAGAGACATCTCCAGCTCATCCCTTGTTTGGTATCAGCCAGCACGTCAACGACTTAAATCAAGAAATAGTTTTCTAAGATCTACAGAGACACTTGCTGGAACACCTCAGCAAGCGAGAGTCCAAAAGTGGCAGGCTCAAACCCAGAACCTCAACCATGGCTGATACCAAATGAGAGACTCCCCCCTGGGCACACAGAAGACTGGGCGACTTGGAAGGCGCTGAACAGACTGCGCTCTGGCACCACGAGATGCAGAGCCAACCTTAAGAAATGGGGCCACAAAGTGGAGTCCACGACATGCGAGTGTGGAGAAGAACAAACCACAGACCACCTGCTACAATGCAACCTGAACCCCGTCACATGGAGGACCTTCTTATAGCAACACCAGAGGCACTCCAAGTGGCCAGCTACTGGTCAAAGGACATTTAATCAACTACCAAGCTTGCAAACTTTGTGTTTTGTTTGTTTGTTTGTTAAAAAATGCAATACAACTGTTTGGTCTGCTCCTGACACAATAAATAAATAAAATGTCCAAGTGGCCAGATACTGGTCAAAGGACATTTAATCAACAACCAAACTTTCAAATTTTGTATTTTGTCTGTTTGTTTGCTTTATTCTGTTAGAAATGTAATATAATTGACTGGTTGCCCTGACACGAAGAGAAAAAAAAAAAAACAGGTTAGAGAGCCGATTGGCCAAAACTAACAAAATTAATTTCAACAAAGAACAAATGTAAGATACTCCATTTAGGCAGGAAAAAATGAAATGCAAAAATACAAGATGGGTGATGCCTGGCTCCGTTGGAAATCGCAACCTTCCAAGGTTCCACTATGTCTTGTCAAAGGCTTTCATGGTCGGAATCACTGGGTTGTTGTAGGCTTTTCGGGCTACATGGCCATGTTCCAGAAATATTCTCTCCTGATGTTTCGCCTGCATCTATGGCAAGGATCCTCTGAGGTTGTGAGGTCTGTCGGAAACTAGGAAAATTGGGTTTATAGATCTGTGGAAGGTCCAGGGTGGGAGAACCACCAGAGTACGTATCAAAACCATTGCGTAAATTAGTATAAAACTGATAAAAACAGAAGGAGCGCAAGTGGCTAAATATCTTGTGACCAAAAATGGGCAACGGGAATGGCATTGTCTGTAGCCTCCAACAATTCTTCCTCTGTACGTGAGGCAGGGCATAGTGGACAAGCATACAGATGCAGAGTTGTCTGTTCTGCTCCACAGTCACACAAAGTGTGGGATTCTTTTAGGTAGTGCCATTTTGCCAGGTTGTCTTTGGATCTGCCCACTCCACTTCTGAGTCTGTTTAGGGACTCCCAAGTTGCCCATTCTTGGTTTGCCCCTGGAGGAAGACCCTCTCTCGTTGGAGGCCATCTTGGTTTAGCTGCCCAGAGGGATACCCTTGCTGTTGCAGGGTGAGCTCCTGCTGTTAGGCCCAGCTTCTGTCAAACTAGCAATTTGAAAGCATGCCAATGTGAGTACATCAAGAGGTACCACTTCTGCGGGAAGATAACAATGCTCCATGCAGTCATGCTGGCCATATGACTTTGGAAGTGGTCTGTGGACAATGCCAGCTCTTTGGCTTAGAAATGGAGATGAGCACCACCCCCAGAGACAGACACGACTGGACTTAATGTCAAGGGAAACTTTTACCTTTTTATACTTGCAAGAGTTGAAAACAGCAGTGGAAAGCTTTGGGCTGTTCTTGTGGGAAAACAACGTTAAGAACTTAAGAATAGAGAAAGACTACATCCCTGCAAAGAATGTCTGTGAAATCAGAGCTATAGTTTGATTTATGTCGGCATAAGTACAGGCAATTCTCTCTCCCCCCCCCTTCTGTCTTTATAGACCATACCTAACCTATTCTAACACAAACAGTATACATGCTAAGAGAGGATCTGTGTATATTCCACCTGAAAGCACCTGATCCTTCCTGGATAGCCTTTTAAATTACTCCCGACTACTATTAAATCATCAGGTTGTTTGAAAAGCAAGCAAATTGCATCCATGCTGTGAATGATGGAAACCAATAGAAAACAGAGAAGAACCTATATAAATAAAAATGTTATGTTTGTGGGATTAACATTACTCACTGGACAAATCGACATAAAATTTGGACACTACACCCCTAACAGACCAACGATTGACCATCACTCATAAACCCCTCCTGAAAAATAGCGGAAGGGACTTAAAACCCCCCAAAAGCTAAATTATAATACAGCGCATGTGCGAAAACGACAGCTCCTGGCATCCCCTAGACCAGGCCCTTTAGGGGAGGAGGATGCTCCAAATGCACTGTTTCCAAGATGCAAGCTTGCTTCTCCTTGGATTTCTTTGAGAGCATCCCAGTTCCTACATATTTCCATTTTCCTATTCCTAGACTACAACTCCCAGTAATCCTCTAGATAGATAGATAGATTAGATAGAGATGGATATTAGGTAGATAGATCAATCAGGAGGACTACTGGGAGTTACAGTCCAAGAATAGGTAGAGAAGGAGGAAAGGGGAGAAAGAAAATGGGAGGGGGGGAAGGAAAGAAGGAAGGAAGGAAGGAAGGAAGGAAGGAAGGAAAAGAAGGAGAAGGAGGGAATGAGAGGAGGAAGGAAGGAAGGGGAAAAGGAAGGAAGGAAGGAAAGAAAGGAAAAAGGAAAAGGAAGGAGGAAGGCAGAGGAATTGAGTCAAGTGAATATAAATACAGTATATTCTGGCGTATAAGACTACTTTTTAACCCAAGAAAATCTTCTCAAAAGTCAGGGGTCGTCTTATACGTGGGTGTAGTTTTATGCATGGGAGTCGTCTTAACTCTATATTTTAACTGGAAAAGTTGGGGGTCGTCTTATACGCCCAGTCGTCTTATATGCCGGAATATACGGTAGTTCTCTCTAGCAAAATCATTGGGTTGTTGGGTTTTGCCTCAAGACCTCACTACCTTGCCATAGATGCAGGCGAAACGTCAGGAGAAATGCCTCTAGAACATGGCCCTATAGCCCGAAAAACCTACAAGAACCTAGTGATTCCAGCCATGAAAGCCTTCGACAATACAGTTCACAAAAGCTTAGTTGAACTGATCCTATATTTTAGGACAGCTTTTCCCAATATGACAATTTCTTGACATGTTAAAGAACCAAAGTCCCTTGCAAAATCTTAAGTGATTGTTTCTTAGTCAGTCTGGAGAAAAGATCAAGGTTGAGGAAAGTTGCTTTAAAGGACAAGAGCAATACTAAGTGGGAATAACCTTATCCCCTGTTTGGATTGCCAAATTAATTTTCAACCACATCATTCCAAGCTCACAACCAACCAGATGGACTGCAACTCATCATTCAGATTCTGCTAGGAATTTAACATGGGGATTAATTGAGGCAGCTCTGGTAATTGTTAATCACTTCCTTCTTTCTGTTACAACTTAGCAAATAGACTCAGTACAAAATTATTCCATTAATATCAAAATATACAGAATATATAAAGACTTCTAACACATCTTTTCTGCAGGATAAATCAATTAATTTTAACAAACACCATGTATTTTTTTAATTGAACACACACACACACCTGTAATTTTCTATTATTTATATGTTATAGATAGGACAAGAAATATTCACAGTGACCAGTGTACATGAATGGACAGAAAGCAATTTATCAGCTATGCTTTATTAGATATTTCATTAAAGAAAACCCAGTCCCACATACATAGAATCATAGAATCCTAGAGTTGGAAGAGACCTCATGGGCCATCCGGTCCAACCTCCTGCCAAGAAGCAGGAATATTGCATTCAAATCACCCCTGACAGATGGCCATCCAGCCTCTGTTTAAAAGCTTCCAAAGAAGGAGCCTCCACCACACTCCGGGGCAGAGAGTTCCACTGCTGAACAGCTCTCACAGTCAGGAAGTTCTTCCTCATGTTTAGATGGAATCTCCTCTCTTGTAGTTTGAAGCCATTGTTCCGCGTCCTAGTCTCCAAGGAAGCAGAAAACAAGCTTGCTCCCTCCTCCCTGTGGCTTCCTCTCACATATTATACATGACTATCATATCTCCTCTCAGCCTTCTCTTCTTCAGGCTAAACATGCCCAGCTCCTTAAGCCGCTCCTCATAGGGCTTGTTCTCCAGACCCTTGATCATTTTAGTCACCCTCCTCTGGACACATTCCAGCTTGTCAATATCTCTCTTCAATTGTGGTGCCCAAAATTGGACACAATATTCCAGGTGTGGTCTAACCAAGGCAGAATAGAGGGGTAGCATTACTTCCCTAGATCTAGACACCATGCTCCTATTAATGCAGGCCAAAATCCCATTGGCTTTTTTGCCGCCACATCACATTGTGGCGGCAAAACACTTTCCACACACTGAATTACACGATGCACAGGGATGTTAGTCATTAATCAAACTCATTCCCACACTTCTCATTAAATTTCTCAATTAAATATATTTTTAGTCCTGAATATACATGGCAGGAAATATTTGCAGTAACCAGTATGCGTGAATGGATAAAAAATATCCACTGAAATATCCTTCCTTTAGCTCTCAAAATGGAGCCCCCGGTGGCCTCCCACAAGGATGATAAAAGCATTAAATCATCCGGGCGTCCGCTTGCAGACGGTCAATTTTCTCACACCAGAAGCGACTTGCAGTTTCTCAAGTCGCTCCTGACACGACAAATAAAAAGCTCTCAAAATATTATCACTTATGCTTAATGAGGGATTTCATGAAAGAAAATGGGCCAGGTAATTATTTTCCCCAAAAGCCATGACTTTTTAACTCAGTGTTTCTATGACAAAGATCCATGCCCCCTCTGATGTAAAACAAGGGAACTTGCTTTTTCTTCTGTGTGGGTTGACAATTAAAAAAGAAGGCTTGTATTTCAATTGCTGCTCATTCCACACTCTGGTTTTTCTCTGCTGTGAGTTGCCTGGTGACGAGCAAGGTATGATTTCTGACTGAAACTCTTTCCACACTCTGAGCATATAAATGGTCTTTCTCCTGTGTGAATTGCCAGATGAATAATAAGGCTTCCCTTTTGACTGAAGCTCTTTTCACACTCTGGGCATTTAAATGGTTTCTCTCCTGTGTGAATTGCCTGATGAGTAATAAGGTTTCCCTTTTGACTGAAGCTCTTTTCACACAGCAAGCATTTAAATGGCTTCTCTCCTGTGTGAGTTGACTGATGACTAATAAGGCTTTTCTTGTGACTGAAGCTCTTTTCACACTGCAAACATTTAAATGGCTTCTCTCCTGTGTGAGTTGACTGATGACTAATAAGGCTTTTCTTATGACTGAAGCTCTTTTCACACTCCGAGCATTTAAATGGCTTCTCTCCTGTGTGAGTTGCGTGATGACTAATAAGGTTACTCTTTTTACTGAAGCTCTTTCCACACTGCAAGCATTTAAATGGCTTCTCTCCTGTGTGAGTTGCCTGATGACTAATAAGGTGGCTCTTTTGACTGAAGCTCTTTTCACACTGGAAGCATTTAAATGGCTTTTCTTCTGTGTGACTTACCTGGTGACGTACAAGCCCTATCTTTTGACTGAAGCTCTTTCCGCACTCTGAGCATTTAAATGGTTTCTCTCCTGTGTGAGTTGCCAGATGATGAATAAGGATTCTCTTTTGACTAAAGCTCTTTTCGCACTGCAAGCATTTAAATGGCTTCTCTCCTGTGTGAGTTGCCTGATGACTAATAAGGCTGCCTTTCTGTCTGAAGCTCTTTCCACACTCTAGGCATTTAAAGGGTTTCTCTCCTGTGTGAGTTATTTGATGATAATCAAGGCCTTTCTTTTGACTGAAGCTCTTTTCACATTGCAAGCATTTAAATGGCTTCTCTGCTGTATGGGTTGCCTGATGACTATCAAGGTTGCACTTTTGACTGAAGCTCTTTTCACACTGGAAACATTTATATAGCTTTACTCCTGTGTGAGTTGCCTCATGACTAATAAGGTTTCTCTCTTGACTGAAACTCTTTTTACACACTGGGCATTTAAATGGCTTTTCTCCTGTGTGAATTGCCTGGTGATGTACAAGGCCTATCTTTTGACTGAAGCTCTTTCCGCACTCTGGGCAATTAAATGGTTTCACTCCTGCGTGAAGTGCCTGATGACGAATAAGGCTGCTCTTTTGACTGAAGCTCTTTTCACACTGCAAGCATTTAAATGGCTTCTCTCCTGTGTGAGTTAACTGATGACTAATAAGGCTTGTCTTATGAGTGAAGCTCTTTTCACACTCTGAGCATTTAAACCGTCTCTCTCCTGTGTGAGTTTTTCTGTGGTAAAGAAGATCTCCCTTCTGAGTGAAGCTCTTTCCACACTCTGGGCATTTAAACAGTCTCTCTCCTGTGTGAGAGGAGAAATTACAAAATGCATTTAGTCGAGACAGCCCTTTCCAACACTGCCTGTTAAGAAAAAAATTCTGTTTTCTTTTTCCTCTAAATATTATGCCAGGATATAAGTCTCAAAGTAAACTATAATGCAACCAGGGCGGGGGAAAACAGAGCTGTTTCCTTAGCCCAAGTTTCTCTGGAATCCCCTGTATTTCTGGCACAAGAAAGGTAAAAACCTTTGATCTGCCTGAAGCCACAAAGGTAGGTGAACTTAAGTTGGTGATATCAGGCAGCAGAACAAACATCAACATTCAGATTAGCAGCCAGAATAATGTTGCCATATTAAAAAGAACCAAATAAAGATGCACATAACTGGAGTTTTATATTCTCTCTCTGTTTTGTCACTCCTTATATTATTGATTAAATGTTATTTTTCCCATTTTAACCGCTTTGTCTTTTTTAAAGCACATCCCTACTGTTGATTTTCTTAACTTCAGAATTAGTATAGGCCTGAGGCAAAACGTGTATTTTATGAAGTGTTCTTAAATGGTTATGTGTTTTGATTATGTGTTTTAGTAATGTTGTCATCCACCACGAACTGTGAGGAGAGACGGATAAGAAATCAAATAATTATTATTATTTGCTGCCATGGCTCTACTGGCTTCCAATTTGTTTCCAGACACAATTCAAATTGCTGGTTATGACCTATAAAGACCTAAATGCCTCAGGTCCAGGCTATTTGTACAAACCCATCTGGGCGCCTCAAGAGAAACCCTTCTCCCACTCCTACCACAATCACAAGCATAGTTAGTGGATGAAAAATAACCATTGCCTAGAATTCATCAAATGTGGCAACTCCACCCAAGTGCCAATTGTCATCTTGGGCTGGCCCCTACATAGACATGAAATGAGCTCGTTTTCTATGGCTTCAGAGGACGAGATCTGAAACACTGCATATTTTTTAGAACTTATAAACTGATTTGGTTAAATACAAGCAGAATGGAGCTTTACCCAGAGATGATACGATTCCTAAAATCTCCCCCATGACTTGCTGGTGCAAAGCTTTTTGGCTTGGATCCAAGAGGGCCCACTCCTCCTCTGAGAAATCCACAGACACATCTTCAAATGTCACCTGAAGGGGAAAAATGTTATGGAATGTAGAAGAAAAAGGTTCATTTTGCAGTGGTTCTCAACCCTGGGTCCCCAGATGTTTTTGGCCTTCAACTCCCAGAAATCCTAACAGCTGGTCAACTGGCTGGGATTTCTGGGAGTTGTAGTCCAAAAACATCTGCTGACCCTAGGTTGAGAATCACTAATTTAGGGCAATATTAAAGTGAGGAGACTGGGCTTCCCCTCTCCTCCAGGGATCCTGTTGCCTACCTGATCTGGATCCGCAGAATCTCTTCTTAGGAAAGAATCATGAAAAGGTATGCTACTGCCACTTGGCCATGTTTCACTGCCTGTGTGAGAGAGGAAAGACACTAGGGAGGGTGAGATCGGTCCCCTTTCCAGGCTGGCCCCACAGTTCCTTCCCTCGGAATCCTGCCACCTTCCCCTTGCCCCATGACCTCTTTGGATTTCAGTCCCAGGTCTTTAATGTGGACTACTTTGTTTTACGGCTGTGTTGCGACCTAATCCCAGGAAATGTAGAGGGTTGACTGTATTAGTTTCTGTATTTGTGCCAATGTAGCAAAGAGCATATTCACCACCATAAACATCCAGAGAGAAGCAAAGGAATTAAGTAACTTTGAAAGTGGCACATATAAGTATTATAGGGAAATGTCTCCCGTCAACAGCATTCTTAAGCTCCCAGGCGCCCTAATTTTTTTCCAATTTACATAGCTCAGACATTTCAGGTCTACTCAAGAGGAGGTGAGCAAGCAAGGAGGACCACTGCCTATTACTTACCAACTAGGATATATTCTCCTCCAATATGGACGGCCCAAATGTGCGAATTCTCCACCTGACTGGTTTCATCTGGAAAAGAGTCCTGCACCTGAACAAGCAGCACAGATTACAAGGGAAAAGATGGATTAGTAAAGGAGGGAGGGCTCTCTTTCTGCAACCTGTTCCAGACTGCTTGGATTATGGTTGGGATTCAAGTCTGATTTTCCTCATTCTGTAATCTGCCTTTCCTTGATTTTGATGTGGGAATTCTGCTTTTGCTTGGGCCTTGCGCTCTGCTTCAGGACTTGCTCTGAAGTGGAAGGGCTACTGCTTAAATGGAGAAAGTACTTTACGTAATCCTGGGGTTGTCATTTGGGGCTACCCTGAAGGTGTAGGTCTGTAGCTTGGGGGGGTCCTCCTGGACTCAATGCTGTCACTTAGTGCTCAGGTGTCAGCGGTGGCTGGGAGGGCCTTTGCACAACTCAAAACTTGTGTGGCAACTGTGACCATACCTCATAAAGTTTAATTTGGCCAGGGTTACATCCAGACCGGACTATTGCAATGCACTCTACATGGGGCTGCCCTTGAAGATGACCCAGAAGTTTAAACTGGTACAACGGGCAGCACCCAGGCTCCTTACTGGGGCAAACTATAGGGAGCGTGCAACACCCCTATTAAAACAGCTTCATTGGCTGCTGATAAGTTGCCAAGCCAAATTAAAGGTGCAGATCATGACCTATGAAGCCCTAAACGGTTCTCTGCAATTGCATCTCCTTCTATGAACCGGCACAAACTCTTAAGATTTTCCAGGGAGGCCCTCCTTTCGCTCCCACCACAGTCACAAGTATAGTTGGTGGGGATGAGGGAGAGGGCCTTCTCAGTGGTGGCCCCTGCCTCTGGAATGCCCTCTCCAGGAAAATTAGACAGGCCCCATCCCTTCCCTCCTTTCATAAGAGCTTGAAGACCTGGTGGTTTCAACAAACCTTTGAGAATGACTAGTTCTAGCTCAGCCCTATACATTATTGAATATGGCCTTATTCTTCCTACCAATTACCCAGTTCACTTCCTCTAACAGGCCCCGGAAATGAACAGCCATAGACCTGTACCTATTATTGTTGTTGCCTGCTATAGCACAGCACTTAATTCCCGGACCCCCTAGAATTGTTGAGTTTGCACTAATCTCGGCTCGGCCTTTTAAATTGCCTTGAAGAGGCAGGATTACTTTTTATATATATGTGTTATGGCAACAATTTTTATGCTTATATTGTTTTGTTAATCTTATGGTTATGTTGTTTACTCTGTATGTATTGATGGTGTTACTTGGAAACCGCTCTGAGTCCCCCTGGGGAGATAGAGCGGTATATAAATAAAGTTTTATTTTTATAAAGTTTTATTTTTATATTCTGAAGTGGTTCATTCAGCTGTATTAAGATCACTCAAAAAGGTCATGAGTTCGAAGCTAGCCCGAGTTGGAGTGGGTTTCCAACCAATTGTGTGTAGCCTGTTGTCGACCTTTGCAACCCAAAAGACAGTTGCATCTGCTCAAGTAGGAAAATAAGGTACCACCTTAAAGTGTGGGGAGGCTAAATTAACTGATTTATGAGGCCATAAAGAAGACTCCAGCAAAGCATTCCAGCGGGGAAGCATGCGGGGAATGCGGAAGTGCTTCATCAGCGTCACAGATGGACGATGAAAGCGACAGCTCCCCTGGTGGCCAGAAAAAGTTAAATAGCCTCTGTCTATGTCTGCATATGTTTGTATGTCAAAAATTGGCATTGAATGATTGCCAAATATGTGTACACTGTAATCCGCCCTGAGTCCCCTGCGGGGTGAGAAGGGCAGAATATAAAAGCTGTAAATAAGAATAAGAATAATTTTATTACTATTATTATTACCCTAGAGGGGATTTTGGGCTGAGTAATCTTAAGTCTGTATGTCTGTGCTTTCAGGTCTCGGTTGAGTGAATAACATACAGTTTCTTAGGGAAAGAATATTCAGAAGTGGTTCAGCCAGTTGCTTCCTCTGAAATACATACCACTGGAATTCTCAATACATTCCTTTTAATCTTCCAAGTTTACCACCCTATAACTTCAGATCATTATACCTGGTGATACCACCCTGGGGAATGGAGAGGATTGCCCCTCCTCTCCGTGAGAGACCTTGAGGGGAGCAAAGGGGGCAATTGTGGCACTCCAAGTTTCTTTTCCAGGGTGAACACACATGGGTCCTCTTATCCTAACACTTATCTGAACTCATTCCAACTTGTTTGTACTACTCTTAAAATTAGCTGATACTGAATGCTATAATCCTGGCCTGAGGAGTCCAGAAGGCTAAAAATGCAATCACCTGTTTTGCTGGCTGAATCACCCATAGTTGGAAAATGTCCATAACATATGGAAAAGGGGTTTCATATAGAATCATAGAGTTGGAAGAGACCTCATGGGCCATCCAGTCCAACCCCATTCTGCCAAGAAGCAGGAATATTGCATTCAAAGCACCCCTGACAGATAGCCATCCAGCCTCTGTTTAAAAGCTTCCGAAGAAGGACCCTCCACCACACTCTGGGGCAGAGAGTTCCACTGCTGAACAGCTCTCACAGGAAGTTCTTCCTATCATCCTTCAAAACATTTTGATTCTATTATTGTTAAAATTAGCTTCCTGAAACTGAATGCAATAATCCCGGCTTGAGGAGTTCAGAAGAGTTCTACATTATCCTTCAAAACGATTATTTTTGGTTGCTTGAAACTTCAAGGTGAATCTCTTTCTCTCACCTGGGACTTCTCCCACTTTCTCTCTTCTTCGGCCCGCTTCAGGAGGAAGCCTTCAGCCAAGGCCATGGCCTGGGAACTGGTCTCTGCCCCACATCTTGGACCTTCCATCTTGGCTCTGTGCTTCTAGGCTGCCTCTCAAATGATAATCAAAGAGGGAGGACTGGCAGAATTGACACAGCCTGCAAACAAAACATGATGAATGAACTCAAGTGAATACTCTCGAGGAAGGACAACACTTTATTTATTTATTTACTTATTTATTTATGGCACTTCTATTCCCCCCTTCTCACCCCACCGGATTACAATGCACATATACATGGGAAACATTGAGCGCCATTTAGACATACGACATATATAGACAGACACAGAGGCAATTTAACATTCCAGCTTTTCCAACTTCATGAGGGTATGCTTGGTTCCGGCTACAGGGGGAGCTGCTGCTTGACCGCCCACTTGTGACACCGGGTACTTTGATGGAGTACTTCCTCATTCTTCTGGAAGGTTTTATTGCCTTATAAATTAGTTAAATTAGCCTCCCCGCATAAAGCGGTACCCAAATTTCCTACTTAACAGGTGCAACTGTCTTTCGGGCTGCATAGGTCAACAGCAAGCTAGACTATTAATGGTCGGGAGCTTACTCTGACTCAGGCTGGCTTCGAACGCATGACTTCTTGGTGATTTAATGCAGCTGGTTACTAACTATCTGTGCCACAGCCTGGTCCTTAAAAAAAACAAAACAAATGTAGTTACAGCTTCAGAAGACAGAAAGGTGATTGACAGTGATCAAGCCAAGAGTCCTTCCACCAGCGAGCCAAGGGAGAGGGCGACTATTCCTGAGCCTCCATGGCCAAGTCAGGCACAAAGTAAAGGGCGAGCATTAATTCAACATTCATTTGCCATGAATGTTGAATTAATGAGTGGCTCCTGGGTGTGGAGAGGAAAGGTTCAGGAAGGGGAGCTGTAGTTTAATGAGGCCCCAGCACTCTTTGGAAAACTATAACTCCCAGGGTTTCACAGCATTGGAAGTTGTAGTCTGATGAGGTCCTAGAGCTCTTTGGAAAATTATAATTCGTAGGGTTTCACAACATTTTGGAGTTGTAGTTTGATGAGGCCCCCGGCGCTCTTTGTCAAACTATAACTCCCAGGGTTTCACAGCATTGGGAGTTGTAGTCTGATGAGGTTCTAGAGCTCTTTGGAAAACTATAACTCCCAGGGTTTCACAACATTTTGCAGTTGTAGTTTGATGAGGTGCCCGGTGCTCTTTGTCAAACTATAACTTCCAGGGTTTCATAACACCGGGAGTTGTAGTTTGAAGAGGCCTCAGCTCTCTTTGGAAAACTACAACTCCCAGGGTTTTACAGCATTGGGAGTTATATATGGTGAGGCCCCAGTGCTCTTTGGAAAACTATGACTCCCAGGGTTTCACAGCATTTTGGAGTTCTTGTCTGATGAGGTCCTAGAGCTCTTTGGAAAACTATAACTCCCAGGGTTTCACAACATTTTCGAGTTGTACTTTGATGAGTCCTCAGCACTCTTTGGAAAACTATAACTTCCAGGGTTTCATAGCATTGAAAGCTGTGGTTTGATGAGGCCCTTCCTTTGCTCTCTCTCTCTCTCCCTCCTCCTTTGAGAATCCCTCCCCATCCTTTCCCAGGCAGGTCCTCTGTGGGAAAGCAGTGGGGCCTCTCCCACTGCAGCCTCTCCCACCCACTTCCACCCCCACAGCTCCCACAGAAGGCCTTCCAAGGCTGCCTGAGGCCGAGGGGCTGCTCTTCCCGATGAGAGAGGCCGGGGAGACTTCCCCATGGCGTCCCCCTCACTCCCTGTCTCTCTCTCCGGGACAGAAGACGCAAGAGACCCACCTGCAGCTCCATCTTTCGGAGGACTGACTCCCTCCCGGAAGTGGCGCTCTTCCTCCTCCCCCTTGGAGGACACCCTGCAGGTAAACAAAGCCTCTTCCGGTGCCCGTCTAGGAAGGGACGCGCTCACTACTGGCCGAAAGGGGCGGAGTTCCAGCTGTGGGAGGACCTTCCTTCCCTCTTCCCTCTCTTCCTGCTTCCCCTCTAGGAAGCCTGGCTTCGGCTTCTCTCCTCCTTCTCTCAGGGAAAGTGGGTTGTTGTAGGTTTCTCGGGCTGTATGGCCATGTTCTAGAAGCATTCTCTCCTGACGTTTCGCCTGCATCTATGGCAGGCATCCTCAGAGGTTGTGAGGTCTGTTGGAACTAGGAAAAATTGGTTTATATATCTGTGGAAAGTCCAGGGTGGGAGAAAGAACTCTTGTCTGTTGGAGCTATGTGTGAATATTTCAATTGGCCACCTTGGTTAGCATTTGATGGCCTGACAGTTTTTAGGGATAGCTTGTTACTGCCTGGGGGAATCCATTGTTGAGAGGTGATTAGCCGTTCCTGATTGTTTCTTCTCTGGAGTTCCCGCAAGTAGTAACAAGCCACACCTAAAAACTGTCAAGCCATCAAATGCTAGTTAAGATCATAGAATCAAAGAGTTGGAAGAGACCTCCTGGGCCATCCAGTCCAACCCCATTCTGCCAAGAAGCAGGAATATTGCATTCAAACACCCCTGACAGATGGCCATCCAACCTCTGTTTAAAAGCTTCCAAAGAAGGAGCCTCCACCACACTCCGGGGCAGAGAGTTCCACTGCTGAAGTCCCACAGTCACTAAGTTCTTCCTCATGTTCAGGTGGAATCTCCTTCTTTGTAGTTTGAAGCTATTGCTGCTTCCCTGGAGACTAGGATGCAATTGAACAATGGCTTCAAACTACAAGAAAGGAGATTCCATCTGAACATGAGGAAGAACTTCCTGACTGTGAGAGCCGTTCAGCAGTGGAACTCTCTGCCCCGGAGTGTGGTGGAGGCTCCTTCTTTGGAAGCTTTTAAACAGAGGCTGGATGGCCATCTGTCGGGGGTGCTTTGAATGCAATATTCCTGCTTCTTGGCAGAATGGGGTTGGACTGGATGGCCCATGAGGTCTCTTCCAACTCTAGGATTCTATATATTTATTTATTTCATGCACTTTTACCCAAGAGGGGACTCAGGGAGAACTCATATAAGCACTGAATGATGCTATCATATAGATAATAAACAAATACATTAAAACAATTTGTTAAAATAGTAAATTACTCATGCCAGTTAAACCAAATCCAAGTCTGGGGTTACATCAATGTCGCAGTATCCAAGTCTTCCTTCCAATTGCTGCTGTCCACTAATCGAACGCCTTGTTCCAAAGCTTCAGGTTTTTTTTCTAAAGGACAGGAGGGAGGTGGCCAACCTGATGTCCCTGGGGAGAGAGTTCCACAGATGGGGGGCCCTGTGTCTCCTCACAACTGCATTTGCAGCGGTGGTGGGATTGAGAACAGGGCCTCTCTTGAAAATCTTAAACTTAGTGATGGTTCGTAACAGGAGATATGTTTGGACAGGTAGTCTGGGCCAGAACTGTTAAGGGCTTTAAAGGTTAAAACCAGCACTTTGAATTGTGCTCGGAAGCTGATCCAACAGACAAGAGTTCTTTCTCCCACCCTGGAATTTCCTCAGATATATAAACCCCATTTTCCTAGTTTCCAGTAGAAATATTCACGGCAGGACACATGACAAAAACAAGAGCACTCTTAGAAAATAGTTTCAGAAAAAGCAACTGGGTGTGGCTGTTAATATCACACATATTAAAACTTAGTGTAAGCAATACACTGAATTGGAACAAAAATTCAAAACGTCTTCTTATGATACATGGTTAACATTATCCATACAGGAAAAAAATGGCACTAGTGTTTCCTCTCTTGTTGCAGTAATTTCAGCACTGAAGCAACAGCAAAATACTTTGCAACACCCAGCTGTAACCCAAAAATCATGTTAGCATACCTGGTGAATTTGATATTTGTGAAAACATTTACATCAGCATCTGAGGAAAAGTTAATAAAGAACATAATAGGAAAATCTGCATCGCAATGTAAGGGGAGGAGAACAATGAAGCCCTTTTGGATGTCTAATTTCACAGAGCAAATGTGTCCTATAAGAAAAAAAAACTAAGGACAGAGTGGAAGACTATATACAGTCGGGCATCCCCTGGGCAACGTTTTTTGTAAATGGCTGATCTTTCCAAACCCAAAAGCATTGCTTTTAAACATTTGAAACCTCTGAGGATGCCTGGCATAGATGCAGGCGAAACGTCAGGAGAAAATGCTTCTAAAACATGGCCATACCACCCGACAAACCTACAACAACTCAGGGATTCCAGCCATGAAAGCCTTCGACAAGACATTCTGACCTGGAAAGCCTTGCAAAGGGGGATTGCTTCTTCCACCAGTCAGGCTGCCTCATCAGCAATTGATTTTTAGGCCCTTTTCACATAACAGAATAAAATCCCACATGATCTGCTTTGAACTGGAATATATATGGCAGTGTGGACTCAGATAAGCCAGTTAAAAGCAGCAGATGTTGTGGGATTCGGTGAGTTACAGGGCTGTGTGGAAAGGCCCTGATTCCTGCCCTTTGCCCTAAATGCCTCTGAAAGGGCCTAAAGGTCGCAAAAGGCACCTTGAATTTTAATTAGTACATTTGGCCCTGCCATAGGTTTTTAAACGTTGTGTTATTGATAATGTTTATTGCTATTTTCTGTTTATGAGTTTATTTATTGTTTGTATTATGGTTGCTATTGTTTATATTGTTGTATTGTGGGCTCGGCCTCATGTAAGCCGCACCGAGTCCCTTGGGGAGATGGTAGTGGGGTACAAATAAAGTATTATTATTATTATTATTATTGAAACCATGGCGCTGTTCCCTCAGCGGGAAAGCAGGTGCACACTCATGGAACTGGACGCTTATGGACACTGAAAGGGGGGGGGGGGGGCTCCACAGGGGAGCTTTCCACACATGTCAACACTTTTTTTAGCCCTGCATCACTTTGACTAGCCAGCCTAAAAGTTCAAGACTTTACAAGCGATACGGACACATAGGATAATAGAGTTGGAAGAGACCACGTGGGCCATCTAGTCCAACCCCCTGCCATGTAGGAAAAGCACAATGGAAGCACCCCCATCAGATGGCCATCCAGCCTCAATAATAATAATATAGCAAGATTTATTTTTATTTATTGTGTCAGGAGCAACCAGACAGTTGTATTACATATTTAACAAAACAAACAAACAGACAAAACACAAAGTTTGCAAGCTTGGTATTCTATTAAATGTCCTTTGACCAGTTATCTGGCCACTTGGAGTGCCTCTGGTGTTGCCAAGAAGTCCTCCATTGTGCATGTGGCAGGCTCAGGTTGCATTGCAGCAGGTGGTCAGTGAGTTTGCTCTTCTCCACACTCGCATGTCGTGGATTGCACTTTGTAGCCCCATTTCTTAAAGTTGGCTCTGCATCGTGGTGCCAGAGCGCAGTCTGTTCAGCGCCTTCCAAGTTGCCCAGTCTTCTGTGTGCCCAGGGGAGTCTCTCATTTGGTATCAGCCATTGATTGAGGTTCTGGGTTTGAGCCTGCCACTTTTGGACTCTCGCTTGCTGAGGTGTTCCAGCGAGTGTCTCTGTAGATCTTAGAAAACTATTTCTTGATTTAAGTCGTTGACGTGCTGGCTGATACCTAAACAGGGGATGAGCTGGAGATGTCACTGCCTTGGTCCTTTCACTATTGGCTGCCACTTCCTGGCAGATGTCAGGTGGTGCAATACCGTCTAAGCAGTGTAATTTCTCCAGTGGTGTAGGGCGCAGACACCCCATGTTAATGTGGTCTGTCTCTTTAAGAGTCACATCCACTGTTTTAGCGTGGTAAGATGTGTTCCACGCTGGGCATGCATACTCAGCAGCAGAGTAGCACAGCACAAGGGCAGATGTCTTCACTGTGTCTGGTTGTGATCCCCAGGTTGTGCCAGTCAGCTTTCGTATGATATTGTTTCTAGCACCCACTTTTTGCTTGATATTCAGGCAGTGCTTCTTGTAGGTCAGGGCACGGTCCAGAGTGACTGCCAGGTATTTGGGTGTGCTGCAATGCTCCAGTGGGATCCCTTCCCAGGTAATCCTCAGAGCTAGGGATGCTTGTCTGTTCTTAAGGTGAAAGGCACATGTCTGTGTTTTAGATGGATTAGGGATCAGCTGGTTTTCCCTGTAAGAGGCAGTAAGAGCACCTAGAGCTGCGGAGAGCTTTTCTTCTACCATCTCAAAGCTCCCTGCTTGAGCGGTGATGGCACGATCATCAGCAGAGATGAAGGTCTCTGTCCCTTCTGGCAGTGGCTGGTCATTTGTGTAGATGTTGAACATGGATGGAGCAAGCACGCTCCCCTGAGGCAGGCCGTTCTTCTGTTTCCCATCTGCTTCTCTGGCCCTGGAACTCAACAAAAAAGCTCCTGTTTTGTAGCAGGTTTCCTATGAGGCGGGTGAGGTGGTAGTCCTTTGTGATATTATACATTTTTCTCAGGAGGAGGCGGTGGTTCACAGTATCATAGGCTGCTGACAAGTCTATGAAGACAGCTCCTGTGATCTGCTCTCTTTCAAAGCCATCTCCTATGTGCTGAGTCAGGTTCAGCACTTGCAATGTGCAGCTTTTGCCCTTCCTGAAGCCAGCTTGCTGTGGAATCAGACATGGGTCTATTTTTTCCATATTTCTAGCAAAATAGGTCTCTACAGAACTTTGTAAAGATTGCATAACAGGGAGATTGGTCTATAGCTTTTTGGATCATTACGGTCTTTGCCTGGCTTCAAGATGGCGATGACTCTTGCTTTCCTCCAGATTTTGGGGATCTGGCAGGATGCAGTGCAGTTGTTCATCAGCTCCAGCAGCCAGCACCTTGCTTTTGGACCAAAGTTCTTGATTTGCTCCATCCGTAGATCATCCAGGCCAGCTGCTTTGCCATTTTTACATTTATTGAGAGCCATGTCCAATTCAGTAGATGTAAAGGGTTCATGAAGGTTGTTGTTCTCAGTATCTGGTTGTCTGGCTATTGGTTTCTTTCCTACTTTGGTGGCAAGGTTGGGTTTCCCATTCTTCAAGACTTGTGTGCTATCTGATCTGCCTTTATGATGGCGTGGGTATTAGTTTGTGAGGGGTCATTGCTCAATCGTCTTAGCAGCCTCCACGCCTTCTGGCTGCTCCTGCTCATGTCGACCTCTGTGATCAGCTTGATCCACTGTTCTTTCTTGGCTTCAGAGATGGAGGACACAATGCTCTGCGCTGCCTGAAGAGTTTTCTCACTAAATGGGTCTTCGTTGTGGAGCCTGTAGTAGTTTTCCAACAAGGCAGCTGTTTCAGGAGTAATGCCCTGAAGGTCGTGGGTTCTGCAGCCATATTTTTTAGATTGAACACACACACACACACCTGTAATACATTTTCTATTATTTATATGTTATAGATAGGACAATATTCACAGTGACCAGTATGCATGAATGGACAGAAAACAATGTATCAGTTATGCTTTATTAGATATTTCATAAAACAAAACCCAGTCCCACATACATACCATTATATGATACACAGGGCTGTTAAGTCATTAATCAAACCCATTCCCACACTTCTCATCGAACTTCTCAAATGTATTCTTAACCCTGAATATACATGGCAGGAAATATTTGCAGTAAAAAGTATGCATGAATGGAACCTGAAATATCCTTCCTTTCGCTCTCAAAATATTATCAATTATGCTTAATGAGATATTTCATTAAAGAAATATGGTCAGGTTATTCTTTTCCCCAAAAGCCATGGCTTTTTAACTCAGTGTTTCTATCACAATGATTCACGCCCCCTCTGATGTAAAAAAATGGAACTTGCCTCTACCCCATTTCTTCCATGTAGGTTGACAATTTAAAAAGGTTTGTATTTCAACTGCAGCTCTTTCCACATTGGTTTTTCTCTGCTATGATTTGTCTGGTGACAAACAAGGTGTGACTTGTATCTGAAGCTCTTTCCACACACTGAGCATTTAAATCGCCTTTCTCCTTGTGTGAATTGCCTGATGACAAACAAGGGCTCCCTTCCGACTGAAGTTCTTTCCACACTCCAAGCACTTAAATGGCCTTTCTCCTGTGTGAATTGCCTGATGACGAACAAGGGCTCCCTGCTGACTGAAGCTCTTTCCACACTCTGGGCATGTAAATGGTTTCTCTCCTGTGTGAGTTGCCTGATGACTGATAAGGCTTCTCTTTTGACTGAAGCACTTTTCACACTCCAAGCATTTAAATTGCTTCACTCCTGTGTGAATTGCCTGATGACTGATAAGACTTCCCTTTTGACCGAAGCACTTTTCACACTCCAAGCATTTAAATGGCTTCTCTCCTGTGTGAGTTGCCTGATGACTAAAAAGGTTGATCTTTTGGCTGAAGCTCTTTTCACATTGCAAGCATTTAAAGGGTTTCTCTCCTGTGTGAGTTGCCTGATGACTAATAAGGTGGCTCTTTTGACGGAAGCTCTTTTCACACTGCAAGCATTTAAAGGGCTTCTCTCCAGTGTGAGCTATCTGATGGTAAACAAGGCCTTTCTTTTGACTGAAACTCTTTTCACACAGCAAGCATTTAAATGGCTTCTCTGTTCTGTGAGTTGCTTGGTGACTAATAAGGTTGCTATTTTGACTGAAGCTCTTTTCACACTGGAAACATTTATATAGCTTTACTCCTGTGTGAATTGCCTGATGACTAATAAGGTTTCTCTTTTGACAGAAGCTCTTTCCACATTGGAAGCATTTAAATGGCTTTTCTCCTGTGTGAGTTGCCTGGTGACGTACAAGGCTGATCTTCTGACTGTAGCTCTTTCCACACTCTGAGCATTTAAATGGTTTCTCTCCTGTGTGAGTTGCCTGATGACGAATAAGAACATTCTTGTGACTGAAGCTCTTTTCACACTGCAAGCATTTAAATGGCTTCTCTCCTGTGTGAGTTGTTTGATGACTAATAAGTTTGCTCTTCTGACTGTAGCTCTTTCCACACTCTTGGCATTTAAACGGTCTCTCTCCTGTGTGAGTTGCCTGATGATAGACAAGGTCAAACTTCCAAGAGAAACTTTTTCCACATTCCAAACATTTATATGGCGTATCTTCTATTTTCATGGTTTGAGAACAAGGGAAATGTGACCATGTGTTGAAAACAAAAAAGTTATATTATATTAAAATTAAAAGTATACAAATTACAAAGTGCATTTAGTTGAGACAGCCCTTTCCCACAGCCCTTTCCAACACTGGCAGTTAAGAGAAAATACATCTTTTGTCTTTGCTCTAAATATTATACCAAGTAAATCATAACTCAACCAGGGCTGGAGAAAATAGAACTGTTTTATTTTGCTCTGGTTTCTATGGAATCCCTTGTACTTCTGGCTCAAAAAGGTAAAAACCCTTGATCTGCCTGATGCCACAAAGGTAAGTGAACTTAACCTCATGACATCAGGCAGCAGAACATCAACATTCAAATTCAGATTAAAAGCCAAAATAAAGTTGCCATTTTAAAAAGAACTGAATTAAGCTGCACATAACTGGAGTTTGAAATTCTTTCTCTGTTTGTCACTCCTTATATTATTGATTAAATGTTATTACTCCTATTTTAACCGCTTACTCTTTTTCTTAAACATCCCTACTGTTGATTTGCTTAATTTCAGAATTAATACAGGCATGAGGCAAAACCTATTTTTTTGACCAGGGATTACTTTGACAAAGGACTAAAGACTAAAAAAAGGTGTAAATAGGTGAGGCCATCCTACTTTGGACGTAACATGAGATCCTGTACCTCACTGGAAATAATAATAATGTTCTGCAAAGTGGAAGGCAGAAGGAAAAAAGAAAGGCTGAATTACAGTGGTTGGATCCACTCAAGGAAACTTGCTTATTAGGCTTGGTCCCGGATCAGTTTGACCAAAAACAGAATGTGGAAAATTGGACCAGAAAGCTGGCCAATACAGATAAAGGGAGCAGGATTTTCGGCTATTGGAGAGGATGGAGTTAAGTGCAATATACCTGAGGTAGGAGGGATTAACTACAACGTCTTTTCTCACTCCCTGGCAGCAGCAGCCCAGTGTCCATTTCTTTTTGGAACATTTGCTAGGCTCCTCCTCCAGAGAGGGCCCTGCTAGGAACTCACTTTCCCAGTAGCACTTGCATGGGGCAGGCATTAAAAAATTTCAGAGTTTCTCTCGTAGCATGATGGGAGTTGAAGTTTGTTTTTCAGCAAATAAAAAGCCTGGTTGTATCCATGCTCTGATTGGCTGAGAATGGACACAACCAGCGACTACCATTCCCAGAACACTCTCTTACGGTTTGGCTTGTTTTACAAAATGTTATGGTAAAAACTTAAAATAACTCTAAAAAATTGGTAGATTGGTGAATTGTTCTGAAACATGGCAAGCCAGGATTTGTAAATGGGGTCTAAAACTGAGGTAGGTTTCATGCAAATAGGCCTTAAAATGACTGAGGATTACGCCCTAATGTTTCCCGGTAAATAGAATTAGGGGGGAACCAAAAATGGACCCTGAAACGGTCGAATTGCGCAAGCCTACCGCTTATGCGACAGACTGCTTTGGTAACTTTGGTTGACAGCCTACAGATGGACCCAGACAGAAGTGCAAAATGTGTCCCTAGTGATTCCACTGAACATTTCAGCAGTTCTCAATATCATCAAGAATGGTATCTTTCTATGTCGCCTTCCTAGATGGGAATTGGCGGCATTTTACAGTGGTTCTGTCCCTTCCTGGAGAGGCAAACCCAGACAGTGCTGTTGGGGGATTCCCTTGCCCATTGCTAATGGGTTCCCCAAGGCATCTGTTTTGTCCCCTATGCAATTAACATATAAATGGGAGAGCTCATTCAGAGTTTTGGAGTGTGGTCCCATCTATATGCAGATGACACCAAGCTCTACTCCTCCTTTCCAATTAAACCAATGTCTCTCACCAGTAATGGCTGGAGAGGGGCAAATTGAAACTTAATCCAGAGTAGACAGAGGTGCTACTGGTCAGTTAGAAGGCAAATCAGGGAATAAGGAATCAGCCTGTGATGGATGGGGTTACTTTACCACTGAGGACAGGCTCTGGAGTTTGGGGAAAACTCCCTGGACTTGGCATGGAATCTGGAGGTCGAGGTTTCAGGCGTGAGCAAGAGTTCCTTGCACATTTTGAATTTGTGCACCAATTTCACCTGAAGAGAATCCTCAAGAGAAGCCCTTGTCTCACTCCCACCACTATCACAAGCATGGTTGGTGGATGGAACGTAACCACTGCCTAGAATTCATCTCATGTGGCAACTCCACCCAAATGCCAATCGTCTTCTTGGGCTGGCCCCTATCTGGATATGGAATGACCTTGTTTTCCATGGCTTCAGAGGAAGAGATCTGAAACACTCAATGATTTTTAGAACTTGTAAACTGATTTGGCCAAGTACAAGCACAATGGAGCTTTACCCAGAGATGACACGATCCCTAAATTCTCCTCCATGACTTGCTGGTGCAAGGCTTTTTGGCTTGGATCCAAGAGGGCCCACTCCTCCTCTGAGAAATCCACAGACACGTCTTCAAAAGTCACCTGAAAGGGAAAAATGTTATCTGCAATGAGGAAATGCCATCAAAGTTGGGAAAGAAAACAGCCCATTTGAGATTTACATCTTTAAATAAATCACTCATTGAAAACATGTTGGAACATGGAAACATGGAAGGAATTTAGACAAGAGAGGTTCACAGAGTCAGGGCAATATTCAAGGGAGAAGGAGATTTGGCCTCCCCTCCCCTCCAGGGATCCTGCTGCCTACCTGATCTGGTCCCAGAGAATCTCTTCCTAGGAAAGGATCATGGAATGTTGTGCTACTGTCATTTGGCCATGTTTCACTGCCTGTGAAAGAGAGGAAAGACATCAGGGAGGGTCAGATTGTTCCCTTTTCCAGGCTGCCCCAAAGTTCCATCCCTTGGAAGCCTGTCACTCTCCCCTTGCCCCATTGGCCCTCTTTTAAACTCCTTCCTTGGATTTGGGTCCAAGGTTTTCAATGAGGACTATGGAGCCCCCAGTGGTGCAATGGGTTAAACCCTTGTGCCAGCAAAACTGAAGACTGACAGGTTAGAGGTTCGAAACCGAAGAGAGCGCAGATGAGCTCCCTCTCTCAGCTCCAGCTCCCCATGCAGGCACATGAGAGAAGTCTCCCACGAGGGTGATAAAACATCAAAACATCTGGGCTTCCCCTGGGCAATGTCCTTGCAGACGGCCAATTCTCTCACACCAGAAGCGACTTGCAGTTTCTCAAGTTGCTCCTGACACAGGGTTTCTCAAGTTGTTTACGGGGGTATTGCAACCTAATCCCACCAAATGTAGAGTATCAGTTTCTATAATAGTATTAGTTTTAAATAGTTTTAGAAATAGACTGTATTTATTTCGGTATTTGTGCCAATGTAGCAAAGAGCTTATTCATCACTGTAAACATCCAGAAAGAAGCAATCAAGTAACTTTGAAAGCGGCACAAATTGTTGTAGGGAAATGTCTCCTGTCAACAGCATTCTTAAGCTCCCAAGCTCCCCATTTTTTTCCAATTCACACAGCTCAGGCATTTCTGGTCTACTCAAGAGGAGGTGAGCAAGCAAGAAGGACCACTGCCCATCCCTTACCAACTGTGATATATTCTCCATTTCCAGTCACGACAACGCACACGATTTCTAAAGGAGGCTCCTCACCTGCAACAGAGTCCTGCACCTAAACAAGAAACACAGAACACAAAGGAAAGGACAGGTTAGAAAAGGAGGGAGGGCTCTCTTTCTGCAACCTGTTCCAGACCTTTTGGATTATGATTGGGACCCAAGACTGGTTTTCTTCATTCTGTAGGAGAATATGACTTTCTTTGATTTTAGTGTGGGAATTCTTTGTTTGGGCACTGCACTCTGCTTCAGGACTCAATCTGAAGTGGAAGGGGCGGGCATTGAAAAGTCTCTGAGATGAATGAAGTACTTTACATAATTCTGGGGTTGAAATTTGGGGCTACCCTAGAGGGGCTCTCGAGTTGACTAGCCTAAGTCTGTCTGTCTGTGCTTTCAGATCCCCGATGAGTTATCTTTACCTGTGAATAACATACAGTTCTTCAGGGAAATAACATTCAGAAGCAGTTCAGCCAGTTGCTTCCTCTGAAACACACACCACTGGAATTCTCAATATGTTCCTTTTAATTTTCAGTGTTTACCATCCTATAACTTCAGATCATTATACTTGGTTATACCACCCTGGGGAATGGAGATGACTGTCCCCTCCTCTTCGTGAGAGCCCTTGGGGGAGGGGGGGTGCAAAGGGAGCAATCATGACACCCCAAATCTCTTTTCCAGGGTGAACTCACCTGGGCCCTCCTTTCCTAATGCTTCTCCGTACTCATTCCAACTTATTTGTATTATTCTTAAAGTTAGCTACCTGAAAGAGAATGCAATCATATCGCCCTGAGTTCAGAAGAGTTTTACATTATCTTTCAAAACAATCATTCTCCTTGAAACTACAAAATTGATCTCTCTCTCTCTCTCTCACCTGGGGCTTCTCCCACTTCCTCTCCTCTTCCTGACTCAGGAGGAATCCTTCAGCCAAGGCCACGGCCTGGGAACTGGTCTCTGCCCCACATTCCCTCACCCAGCGCTCCATCTCCGCAGGAAGGATGGCCAGGAACTGCTCCAGGATCACCAGGTCCAGCATCTCCGCCTTTGTATGTTCCTCAGGCTTCAGCCACAAGTGGCAGAGAGAGTGGAGGCGGCTGCAAACCTCTCGGGGTCCCAAGGCTTCCTCATAACAGAAACGGTGGAAGCCCTGGCGCTGAAGATCCAAGTAGAGCAGATTGTTCTCCCAGTCTTTCCTCCAAGGGTCCTCCCAGAATGTTCTATTGTTCTCTGGCTGAACAGCAGAAGTAAATACTTCTAACTTGACAACGGGCTCTTGCCCTTCCATCTTGGTTCTGCGCTCCTAGGCTGCCTTCAAACTGGATGGAGAACTTCCCTGCCAAGTAGATATTTGAAGGGGAAGAACTGACAGAACCAACAGGACCTACAAAACAAAAAAAGACAAATAAAGTCATGTTAATATTATTTATTTATTTATTTACATTATTTCTATCCCACCCATTTCAGCCTGAAGGCGACTCAGGGCTGAAATGGGTGGGAAAATGCTTTACCACAAATGTTGAATGGAGGACTGGCTTCTTGATCTGGAGAAAAAGGGTTCGGGGGGAGGGTCCCCTCCTTCTCACAGAGCAACACTCTCCCCCGTAGTCCTCTCCTTTCTTCAGCCCCTTGAACCTTTGTTACCTCTTTCCCTTCCTTTGGAAATCCTTCCAAATCATTTTCAGGTGGCAGATGCCAGACGGTTTGTTCCTGTGGCCTTTCTCCGCACTCCTTCAGGCCGCACAGATCCCACAGATTATTATTATTATTATTATTATTATTATTATTAACTTTATTTATACCCCGCAAAATCTCCCGTAGGACTCAATGCGGCTTACAAAGGCCAAGGCCGCCGACAACAACAACATACAATATACAAAAAACTCATAAGCAAATAATAAACATCAATCAAAACAATAAAACAGTGACACCGTGACGCAATTTAAAACCAAGGACCGGGCCAATGCAATGGACAAAGTTAAACAGTGCTGTCGTGACAGGTAATATGTAGAGGGATTTGGGTAGGTACAATGTGCAGATAATCCTAAATCTCTAGCAAGATGCTTGGGACTTGAAACCAGGAGTTTCCTATTCTGGAAAGGCACACTGGAACAGCCAGGTCTTCAGGCGCTTCCTAAAGACAGCCAACGTTGGGGCTTGTCTAATGTCCTTGGGGAGCGAGTTCCAGAGTCGGGGGGCTACCACAGAGAAGGCCCTGTCCCTCGTCCCCACCAAACGTGCCTGCGACGCAGGTGGGATCGAGAGCAGGGACTCACCAGATGACCGGAGGGAGCGTGCGGGTTCGTAAACGGAGATGCGGTCACGCAGGTAGGCAGGTCCCAAATCGTTTAGGGCTTTGCAGGTAAGCACCTGCACCTTAGATCCCAGGCAGACGGACCTGCAGCTGAGGTTGGGAAGGAAGGAGCCCTCCTCTGAAGGAGGCTTTGGTGAAGCCCCTCGTGACCTCCCCCCAAGGGTCCTGACCCCCAGATTGAGAAAGGCTGGCCTAGAACCTTTGCTATGTCTGTCCCATCCTTTGGAAATCCTTCCAAATCATTTTCTGGTGGCAGATGCTGGAGGGTTTGTTCCCACAGCCTTTCTCTGCACTCCTTCAGACCCCACAGATCCCAGTCCAAGACAGAGGGACCTGCAGCTGAGGCTGGGAAGGAGAAAAAGAAGGAGGGGAGGGAGGAGGAGGAGGAAGAGGAGGGAGGGAGTGCAGGGAGCCCATGGCCGGCTTCAGAGGAGCCTCCAGAGCCCCTTCATAGAATCAAAGAGTTGGAAGAGACCTCCTGGGCCATCCAGTCCAACCCCCTTCCAAGAAGCCGAAAACTTGCATTCAAAGCACCCCTGACAGATGGCCATCCAGCCTCTGTTTAAAAGCTTCCAAAGAAAGAGCCTCCACCACACTCCAGGGCAGAGAGTTCCACTGCTGAACAGCTCTCACAGTCAGGAAGTTCTTCCTCATGTTCAGATGGAATCTCCTCTCTTGTAGTTTGAAGCCATTGTTCCGCGTCCTAGTCTCCAGGGAAGCAGAAAACAAGCTTGCTCCCTCCTCCCTGTGGCTTCCTCTCACATATTTATACATGGCTATCATATCTCCTCTCAGCCTTCTCTTCTTCAGGCAAAACATGCCCAGCTCCTTAAGCCGCTCCTCATAGGGCTTGTTCTCCAGACCCCTTCCTCCCAGAAACAAAGGGCCTGAGTCTCCCTCCTTGCCGCCTCCCTCCCTCTGCTGCCTGAGGGCCCCGCCCAAGGAGGACTGGCTCCCTTCCGGAAGCGGAACTCGTCTCCCCCCCTCGGAGGACCCTCTGCAGCCCAAGCCTCTCTAGGAAGGGACGCGCTCACCAATGGCTAGAAGGGGCGGGGCTCTGGCTGTGGGAGTCCCTTCCTTCCTTCTAGGAATCCCTCTCGGTCGCTTTAACCCTTCAGAGCAAGACCCAGCCTCTCTCCTTTTGGGAATGTGAGACAACCCCTTAATGCAAACACACCTATTAACAAGATTATAATATGATAATATCAACACTAATAATAATCAATAGTATATATATGTGTTCAAATGCTCAAACCTCCGTACAGTGGCCCTTATTTCTCATGCCAGTAAGGTCATGCTCAAGATCCTGTTCCACAACCCCTCTCCAATGCCAGTGACACAGCTTAATGGTGTAACATTAGAAAATGTTGATCCATTTCCGCTACCTTGGCAGCCACCTCTCCACCAAAGTCAACATCGACACCGAAATACAACACCGCCTGAGCTCTGCGAGTGCAGCATTTTCCCGAATGAAGCAGAGAGTGTTTGAGGACCGAGACATCCGTAGGGAGACCAAGGTGCTTGTTTATAAGGCTATTGTCCTCCCAACCCTTCTATATGTCAGCGAAATGTGGACTGTCTACAGACGTCACATGCAG